ACCCTATTGTCACTACAGTACTCCCCAGTAGGGTCACAACATTTTTACGATGCAGTACGCATTCTATATCGTTTTGGAAGATAAGTAAATAAAGCTCTTATAAGTGTCTTTAGATGTCATTGACATTGTACAAGCTTAGCCAAACAACGTCACCTGCAACAATGAAACATCATTCCTACATGTATAGTATATTATTCTTACATGTACATGTAGGATTTATATTTCAATATTTCTAGTTGTGCTCACACGGCGTTGGTTTCTCACATTTACCTTACTGTAAACCCCCGTTATCATTTCCAGTTAATCTTCATCATTGCATAATTAACCGTCCAGTGCATTGCCATGTTGATTTACAATGTGCAAGGAAATTCTACGAAAGCTTCTTGCAATGTGTTGGTATTTCTAACACGGACTACAGAAAGTGTATCTTTTTACAACGTAAGTATACAAATGTGGAAACAGATAGCTTATAAAACAGCTGTATCTTACCGAACCGCTAGCATCCCTGTCGAAAGTGCGGAATATCTGCCGAGCTAAGGTGACTTTTTCCTCCTGCCTACCCATCTTGAAAGACTCCGTGAAATAGTGCAAGAAGCGTTGTTCGCTGTATGTAAGGAAATTCAAGAGATACGGCTCAGAGACGAGTTGTGCATGGTGGAGACAAGACTATTTCGTAAAATCCTGCGTTTTCAAAGTAAGGTGCTAGTAATAACATAATGAAAATATTTGACTAAAAAGATTTTTACTTGCCCCTATTGTCCAGCTTTAAACTAAAGAATTCCTCAAATACGAATGAACAAAGAAATGTCAGACTCGCATCTATGCTGTTAGTAACAGGGAGGTATACGTAGTAACCGACCTCAGCAGTCCATCCGGACAATCCTTTATGAAGCGTTTGTACCATTCCTTCACCTCCTCCTCGTTGAAGTACGTGATTCTGGTCAGCTGAAGCACCAGGCGCCGTAGTTCGAAGGACCCGAGCTTCTTTCTTCTGCCTGCCGCCTGCTGTGACGTGCAGCTGGCCCTGCCGACGCCGCTGCCCATGTTGATGTACTTGTTGAGAAATTATATAGCCGACACGACGTCTCACTAGAGCAGGCTCGTCCGGTTGTATAGCTCATTGCTATCTGATGATCTTACCGAATCATTCATTTCGATGCTTTTAGGTTGGGCATCCCCTCCCGGCAATGCGTCTTAGCGATCTTTGACTTTGCAAAGTTATCATATCTGATACAAGGTGATGAATATTGGTGAGTTACAGACACTTTGTACAGTTCAGAGTATGGCGATAGTTGACTGTAGCAAATAGAGTCGACTAACAACAAAATGTGTCATTGGTTGACCTGATTCCGAATGTTTTATCTGTTATGTACCTCAATATCCAGGATGATGAAATTACAATCATTACAAATAAAGGATTATTATAAGTCTGTATGTAATACCGACTGATATAATTTTTGGTCAGTCTAATGTTCGCATATTCGGTTACGAATGCAACATGCAAGTCAACAGTGTGCAGAACAAAATGTATCATTGCATAGATAAGATCAAAGTAGGTCGGAATCAGGCATCTGAAACTTATCAACGGATTAAACGTACCAGTATATGATGTCAATGTTCACTTAACCACGCTATCTTCAGCTTTGGTCAGTGATCATTACTCGTCGGCGTCTCTGAAGCTGCTGTCTGTTGGGAACTATACATGATCCGTTATTCAGGCGTACGTCCTATCACCACTGTGTGCAAGTCAACCGAAACTTCATCCATATTCCCCAGAAACAATCTCCCCAGGATTTCTGATTAATATCTAAAGCCCACCTTACAGAAGTATTACAACGGTCGAAAATATTCAAGCCCTTATTCATTTTGATAGAAAATATCAATATCGCCTAATCTCCATATTCTGTATTTTAAATTCATTTTAGACTTAATTTTGGCATCAAGAATAAAGCTGGCCAATTTAAAGGGAAGAGAAAACAGCAATATTTACTAGTATAGTTTGAGGCGATTCGCCTGTCACCACAAAGGTACAGATGAGTCGGTACATAAGAGAGTTCCTACATGTAGATAGCACTTTTGCCAAGGGGTAAGAGGGGCACACATCAAAGTGTGTTTGACATGCCGGCTGGCACTAAGCTGGAGATAGTACATAAAACAGTGCACCAGACCACGGGTCAGAAAACAATGGCCCTTGGATAGTCTAATACCGCCTCTAAAAGCGTGTTCATCATCAGATAGGTTTGCTTTATGTCTGTCAACACAGTGCAGGGATAATGGAAGCCTTTTAGCCACCTGGATCTAAGGTAGCACATATACTCTTGATACATGTGGATATTCATTCTATTTGTCAAGTTCTGTTGTGGTCAGACTGGTAAATTTGTGTCTTTCATGAAAAATGTGCCAATATGAAAATAATAGTTAAACTTTAAATTAACGTGCATGTTTATGTGTATGAAGCTTGTGTTGGTACACAGCATTATGGGAAAAACAAATGCAATACGATTTCAAAGCACACAAAAGAAAGAAGATTGAAACAGACTGTCGAGCTGAATCGGAATTTAATACTTGGCCATGCATATACAAAGCACAAAAATAATTGTTACTTTGATCGTTTTACGGAAGCGACAAGTAATGATGCCATTGGGAAACAGCCCTACAAAATCCATATACATGTATATAGCCTGGCTAAATCGCGCGCTCCTAGCGGCTGGCCCACCCGACAATTGCCGTCAATTACCTGTAGCCAGTGAGGGATCGTGCAAACACAGGCTACCAAATACAGCCAAACCTAAACTAAAGCATTCCTCTCTACTGTTGGAACGTTACAACATGGCTATTACAGCTTAGTGACAATGTACCAGAAGGTAAACTGCGAGTATTGTTGTCTCTATTTTCCCAGGTGCAGAAGTGCCTTGCTGCGGACGTCCCTACAGCCGTTCTCAGAATACTTCACACCATCAGTCTCTAGGAAGGAAATCTCCTCCGAGATTCTGTCCCACATCTCCTGTGATAACAACACAAAGAAGCAGCGTTAACACATGACATCACCATTGACAAATCAGATGAAAAGATACTCACAACACATGATTTTGTTGTCAGCTAATTACGATATTTTTTTGTGTTCAATTACAGTGATTCATCAAGATACCATGTAGAACAGCAAACAAACACTACATTATAATTCCTATATATGGTCTCCACAAACCAATGGGTACAGAAAGACATGAGGTAGTGTTGCAAAAGGAGTAGGATTATATTGATGGCTGTCATATCTGTTGTGCATGGTGCACGTACAAACTACACGAATATGAATGTTGTTTTTTTGTGATTATCCATTACAAGAACAAGTTTCTGTGGAACTACTCACCCCGGTAAGCCTATAATCCCTTAGGTCATTAATCACGTCATCGATACACTCCTTCACCTCCTTCAGCTCGAGCGGGAGGAAGGGAACCACGTGCACCAGACTGTGCTTCAACAGGGAGGCGTGCCACAGGCCCGTCTTCTTATCGGTTCCTAGTGATCATAGGAAGGAAGGAGGGAGTAACGTTACACAGTATCTATTACACAGAAACGTGCCTGGTGTAGACTCGATGTTTTACTTTTAGACGTGACCGAAATGCAATTTTTCAACTTCAATCAAATGGCTCGTTGACCATTTGATGGATGGATGTTCGTCACCAGCTTGTCACTGATCAACCAACGCATCCTACTAGTAGTTATGTATTCATTGTTTGTTAATTTCTTTATAAAGGCTGAATAGTTGGATGCTTTGATCAGTGAGATGTCTAGATTTATGCATATATAGCACAGCAAAGTGGAACTGTAAAGATGCAATGTTTGAAAATAACAATTCAAATGAACACAAATATAAAGTACACTAACCATCGGTGGTCTCTGCACTCTGCTTGATAATGTTTTCAAACTGCTTGATCCCGAAGTCCTTCCGATCGGTTCCACCCTTACGAAGTTCGATGAATTTTCCAGTAATCGTGCCGGCCGCCGTGTTGCTAGAACAATTGAACCACTTCGTTATAAATGACGCTACAACAATGTACTGCTACATAAGACAAAGTCTGGATTTGTAATTGATATGATATCAATTTACCGGTAGATTGGACATTGGCAAGGCTATGACTACAGCGGCGAAGATGATGATGATGATGAAGGCTCTGACTGCACTGGAACAAACATTGTGACAGCCTTGATGGCAAATAAGAAACAAAATCACTTTAGATACCTCAGGAACAGAAACATGGCCTTGTTGAAGTTCTGTCCGTCGACTGGACCCACGTCCACGTAGGGTTTGATGGTGTCGATGAGACCCTCTGGCATCTTGTCGGTCTCGTCGAAGATGAAGAGAGTTCGGGGACAACTCCGGATGGCCTCGGGGATGAGTCGGTGCAACATGTCCAGTAGACGACAACCATTTAAACAGCATTTGCAGCAACAGATTCAGAATTACATAACTGTACGTATTCTAGCTCTATTATTAACGACGCTGCTAGGGAGATCTAACCATGATAGTTTGAAAGAAGCCCATTGTTTTGTCCGTTTTCGATGCCTATTGTGCAATTACCGATTCAGTATGATAGTAACGCTCGTCAATCATATCCATGGGAGTAGAAATTTGTTGAACACAGAATTCAATAGATTTTGACAGATTATCGTTATTTTTTCTCTTAAAGTCTTTGTTTATAGCCATAGCCTATGAAAAGGTTAATGCCTAGATACCTTATATCCCTTGATGTTGTCAGAATCGTGATGAGGAAAGTGCTTTGTGGCGGTGAACGCGCGGACGCAGGGGGAGTTGAGTCCATCTAAGAAGAGGCTGTCGGCGATCATCCCTCCGACGTAGTTCTTCCCCACTCCTTGCAGGCCGTGGAAGGACATCGCCAGGGCTCTTTCCGGGGATTTGTCGACATGGTCCGTGATGTAGCGAACCACTATGTTCTGCACTAGTGGCTGGCCGTGTAGTTTCCGCTGTATGGTCTCGTCCAAACCTAAAAAGAATATTTAGATTGCCCATTCTATTCCGTGAATATTCTTAAGCTTCGCCTTGTTTCATCTAGCCTCATAATTCGGCCTTTAATTTTTTTTGTGCATGGTAATGGTATTTTCCATTCATAAAATTGTGTTAGATTGGTCAGTAAAATCCATTGGTGAGCCTGTTGTTAACGTTAAAAGAATGTAAACAAACCTGCTTCCCTAAGCCCCGTGGGTTTTTGTGAAGCTCCAATGTACGTGAACCCACTTCACAAAATTTGACTAATACAACATTTATGCGTGAGCCAATCGTACAACAAGGTCATTTTGTTTCGAGACATTAGCAAGCAACATGGGAGTATATGAATGTGTGTGATCGGAGGGGGGATAACAGAGAGACGTTACAGAGCTTATATAACTGCACCAGAATTATAGTGTTTTGACTGCACATGACTAAGTTCGTTTGAAATTTTGACCAGATATCTTGGATAGACAATATCATGACCAACGTTTTACCGATCAAATATTTATGCCACACATTAATACATGTTCAAACATAATGCCGCACAGTATTTGTGAACAAAAAAATGTGTCAATCATCGATCAAATCACAAACACAAAGGATGTCTGGGATGAAGTCGTTTACCAGTATACCAGTGACGTTCTCTCTCATTGCTGATGACATTTACACGTCTGTCGTCCAGTCTGTTTCTGCATAAAGTTACTAGTACTAGTTATGTGGGAGCTGATCTGTGTGGTACTCACGCGTCATGTTCGGTTTGAACTGTCCGCCACAGTTGTCTGGTACTGTGATGAAAACGATCACCAAGACGGCCAAAACAAGCACGGTCACGGCTGACGTCATCACCGGTCGAGCCCTTGCCTGGTTGATTGGCCATTCTAACACACGCCTGACACGACCGGGCTCTTGGTGAAGCTCGTTGGCCCTCAGAATCAGGAAATGGGCCAGGCGGACCCAGGACTGATGCTGCTGGACGTTCAGCTCTGCCAGGCCGAGCAGAAGCCGTGGGTTTCGGTTGTGACACAGGACCCTTAGCTTCTCCTCTATTTCACTGATCGTCAGGCCCCTTAGCGGCTGCCCGGCATCAAACTGAGCCGGTTGGCTCGGCAGTGGACACGCATCTGTACGTTTAGCGCTCTCAACTGCCGGGAGGAAGTTTTTGCCCGGACCAAGTGACGCTCCAGGGAGCAAGATCGTCGCCATCGTCAGGTGTTTGAGGACTTTCGTCAGGTGTGCTGGCCAACGAAACGTATGAAGACAGCCTGTAAAGCAACACACAACAGGCAAACACAGGTGATCACTATCCAATCACAGGTACACACGCTAGTTCCTCTTTTGCAGTATCGATGGGTGACTCACTGTTGGTCATGCACTGCTAAAATGTTTATAGCAACCACTGACTTGGGGGCATACTAAGAATCCGTGTTCTTTCAACCTCCAGGTACATAATAGCTGTGCTTTCATTATCTTCGTTGTGTTCATTGTCTAGATCACTATTTGCCTGCCGCCCCCGTGACTTCTTTCACTTTTGTCTACCGTCAGACTTCGAGCGTCCTCTCTGGCTTAAGTCAGGAATCTCCCCCACGGATACGAAAAGGGAACCCATCATCGAAGATTTCTACTTAACTTGAGTGAGTTACCTTCCTCTTTTTGAGTTTCTATGAATCAGACTAGTCATCCTCACATATTAAGTGCAAAAAGGGCTTTCTATAGACATATTTACAGTCTTAATTCTTACTGCACGGAAAACATTTCAGACCTGATGTTTATAGAGCCATTCAGACCTATTCAAGCAAAGCAAACGTATGTAACATAGGACGTTGGGTTGTTGACGACCCATGTCGCTCGTCTTGGGAATTTCCGTCACGTATACGAAAGGCCGGGGAAAACCTTTACCGAAGATTCAAGGTTAATTTGGCAGAGGTAAGTCTTGTGATGGCCCAGACAAATAAGTATAAGACGTTCAACAAACCTCTCAGAAGAGAGTATGAAGACTTGCAGAGTAAAAACTAACATATGCTCCCTGGTCATCACGCCGTCATGCACCTTGACCCTACTGTAATTATAAAGTAAACTAAGTGTTTCTATGGACAGTCTCGATCGGTGTTTGTATTACACGGATCCATTCAGGTAAAGCAAACTGTACATTGGACGTTGACTTGTTGGCCCGTGTCGTCTTCCATCATACGAAAGGGGAACCTTTACCGAAGATTCACGGTTAACTTGGCGGAGGTAAGTCTTGTGATGGCCTAGAAAATAGATATCTAAGACGTCCAGGAAACCTTTAAGAAGAGAGTATAACAAGAGTTGCAGGTCGTTGCAGTTACACATCGTGGCGTGGTGCACCTTGAAAAAGAGGAACAAGGCGTTACTCAGATTTACTGGGATGTCCGGTGACTTAACAAGGGCTATCCTTTGGTCATACGAATAGAAACGTACAATGTACATGTACATAAACACGTCATCATTACAATTTCCTGGTATCGCTCATGTCTTGCACAGATCCCCCAAGTTTCAGGCAGGACCGATGGAGGGACGGAGTGGTGTCGAGGTGCTGCGGGAGGGGACGAGTCTGAGGGGGAAAGACATCATTCCTGAACTGCTTCTCATCGACGACCCTGCGCCGGTCTCATACAATAGGTAATGCCTTAATCACTATTTGAAAAGGCCCCTACTGGCCTCTGAACTCGGGGGATACCGACTGTTCTGATTGCAAATATATTTTCCTTCACACTGACCTTTCACCGGGACCCGGTGTGTGTGTGTGTGTGTGTGTGTGTGTGTGTGTGTGTGTGTGTGTGTCTGTGTGTGTGTGTGCATGTGCGCGCGTGTCTGTGCACCTGTGTGCGCGCGCGTGTGTGTGTGTGTATGTGAGTGTATGAGACGCTGAGGTAAGGGGGTAGCTATATCTTCGCAAGTGCAAATCGGAGCCGTCTAGATATATTTTTTGGCACTGAACAAAATATGCCGGTGTTTCATCGTGTTCAGACCTTACTGGAGTTCCTCCTTCTTCTCCAGCTTAGCCTCCTCTTTCTCTTTTCCGTCTTTACTCCTTCTTAAACCAACACTGTTTTTTCTGTCAGGTTTCATGCAGACGTTCCCCTGGAGAAGATGGCAGCCCAGGAGATCAGCAGACGGATCGAGCTTCTGACCGGCTACAGCACGGCGCGGCTACAGGAGCTGGTGCGGGGAGGAGCGCCACCTGTGCGGGGAGGAGCGCCGCTGGAGGGGCGCCGGCTCTACATGCTCGCGCATCTGCTCATAGCTAAGGCCAACAAAACTTCTGGCGGTCAGGGAGCTGGCGAGATTGGGTTCCCCGCTTTCCCTGGGTTGAATATTTTGAAACCCCTTTTGTTTGTCGCTCTTGTGGTTCTTGTTTTTGGCGCCATGGTTCCTTGGGTCCGAAGTCCAAGGGATAATACCACAACTACTGTTGATAATTCAGAGAAAAAGGAAACAAAACTCGCACCACCGGTATACGTAGAATCGCCTCCTCCCACAAAAATGGAAATCTTTGAAACACGATTTTCCAAGCTGACTAAAAAATTCTCCCAACAGAAAGCAGACGTTTTTGAACCCCTCAAAACAAAACTAACTCCCGTTGTCAGTGAGGAAGGAAGCGCCCTTCTGACTATCACAGGCCCAGGTCCAACCGCCAGAGCCATGGCTGAATCCCTCCCGTGGGTTCTGTCCAGAGCTTTTGTTAGCATAGATCCTCTTCAGTTCGGTAGCTTAGGTTCTGAGCACCGAAACCAAGTCATTGACGAGGTCATGAAGGCGTGGGCAGATGGTCCTCACGATGTTCTGATCGTCCAGGAGCCGGGCAGGCTGCCAACTGACGTGTTGGAGGCGATTGTAGGGCGGTGCCGAACAGCCATGGGCAAGCACGGTGTCGTCATAGCCTGGGGAGAGTCGGGGATGGACCTACTGTCGGGCTGTGGCGGGGTGACTGCACTAGACGTGACGAGGGAGACCGGGCTAGCACAACCTCCACCTATCACAACTGGTAAGGCCTACAAGAAAATTCTCTGATTCTTTTATTATAGCAAAGGAGCAACTGTAACTGGATCTCTTTTCATGAACACAGGTCCTTGTTATAGAGGTAGTTTTTTCTCAGGTAGATGCTGTCAAATACTTATCTAGTACTGAAGATTTTAAAGGCTTATAGTTATGGTCATATGTTCCAAATGTACTGTGTAACTGCACATTGTGTTTTTGTTATTTACAGCAATTGCATATCATACATATACCTATGAACTACGAACATTGTGTAACTGCACATGGTGTTTGTAATGTTTTCCACTACAGGAGACCATGAAGCCTCCATCAGCGCGTTGAAGAAGACCTTCCCGTCCCAGTCAGCACGGCTGTGGCGGGTCTCGGACTTCGTGATCGGCCAGCACCTGCGGGACAGCGACCCCCGCCAGCCCGCCATGCTGATCCTCGCCGGGCTGCCGGGCGCCAACAGGACGGTCCACCAGCTAGCGGAGGGCCTGGCCATGGTATGTGCACTTCTACCTTACATCCGGCAGGTGGCGCTGGTGTTCTTACTACCTCTGTGTACTGTTCAACATTACATGTCTACACAACATGTAGAGTTTACAAATACATGTACATGTCTGTTAGCAACCGGCTTTGCTCCCACCAGCTAAACAAGCATTTATGGCAGAAGCACATGAAACATAGAGCTAACCAGAACCAGCTATACGTATTTCAGGTAACAACTAAAAACAATGCCAGCATGATCGTTAATGTAAATGGATCTTGATATCGAGATTGCATGTTAAGAGTTAACTCCCCTAATTGATCGACAAAGATTACCATGATCGACCATGTATCGTGGTGGATCTCCTGTAACATTTCACCCCGTTTCTCTCTAGATCTACTCAGAGGAACCCCTGGTCATCAACAGTCGCCAGTTCAGCCGGGTGGACCCAGCCCGAGGCAAGCTCCATCTGGACCGGGCGCTGGACTCGGCGTTCCGCGGGGGCAGACGTGCCGCCGTCCTGACCGAGCTGGACGCGCTCCCGCCCGGCGCCGCCATGATGCTCCACTCCTACTGCGACCACGACAGCGCGCAGTATAAGGACGTGGCCTACTTCATGACGCTGCAATTAAGGTAATCATCCAGCAATACACAAGACACACCGGCATACATATGGGCCAGTGTTGTAGCTATCATTTATGAGATGGAAATCATTTTCACGGCAAGACCACTTTAATGATTGTCTAATTTTCCACCAGCTATTTTGCATGTTTTCCTGCAGCTATTTTACGTTATGTTCTATCTTTGCACTTTCTTTCACGGTGGGTCCTTACTGACTACTTATGATCGCCCTCTAGCGTTTCTCACCCGAACTGTTGGTTGTGTTGCAGGGAGCCTGTCGCCCCCGGCCTGACGGCGGCGGGGCAGGACCGGGTGGTGCGGGAACGCCTGCGGGAGGCGTGGGCGCCGCTGGGCGGGGAGAAACGGGACCCTCTCATCAGCAGGATCGCCACCATGATCGTTCTGGTCCAGCAAGAGGATAGCTTTGATGTATTTTCAGACGTCTAAAACTCGTGTATGTTCTCAGAAAGAAGGGGAAATTCTAGCTATAGACTTGTCACTCGAGGTAGTACAAATTAATGATATAAGCCTGCTCTTTGACAAAAGCTGCATGTAGTATGTGTCTGAAGATACAAAGTACAAAGCGCTGCCTTGAATAGGTATCCCTCAAATGTTTTAATATCGTTTTGCTCAACTAGAAAAGGAAAAGCCAGCAAAACATTACATAAAACTGTTACACATTGTCTATGATTAAGAAATTCCTTACAGACTTTGAAGAAATCCAATCAATGTAGATACCATAGTTTTCAACTTCTGATGCACTACTAGAATGTTGTAGTTATGTATACTACTGCAGTTACAAGTAGACATTGAATCCCTGTCATTAGTTTGCGTTTCTTTTGTATCTTTTCTTAATAAGAAATTTAGGGGTAAAGAAGTACAGGCATTTTAGAATACAATTTTAGTCTGGGCTAAAGCTTCTACTAGAGTAACACAGGGTGTAAAACTGAGTCTGAAGCAAAAATATAGAACAGTCGATTATATATAGTATATATAGTATATATAATCGACTGTTCTATGTGCATACATGTAAACAGCATGGATAGGTATATAATATACCTATCCATGCTGTTTCCATGTATTCACGTAGTGAAAAAGAGCCTCCAGGCATGATACAATACCACTCATTGTCACGACTGCCTTCCTGTTGTAAAGTAGGAATCAGCAATACATAAACCTTAAAACTCTTCCCTCAAGCTTCGCACGGAAAGTTCCATAAATATATAGACAGACCATGCAAGAATCTTATGACATCGCACTAATACTTACCCATGACAAAGAATTCAGTTTTGTTGCAGTGGCGAGAATTGCAACGTGCTGTATCTACTTTTGTCATGGTTGATTCCGATTGCGTGAGTCACGAAGAAGGCGTTTGGAGAAATTGCAAAAGAGGCTTTTCTCTATCTATATTACCGCCATCTGTACAATACCATTTAAATCGGGACGTCTACACGTATATTCTACCTTGACCATTGTGACGACTTGGTTTTGTGTATGGCGTGACACATTACCAGGTAACAAATCTTACTGTGCGACTCGTTTGCCTCTGCTTGATCAAAGTCAGTCCGTGTCCTAGTGTAGAAGCTAGACCCACAGTCGGACCCAATTTCTTTGTGGATTGTTCAGGGGAGATATAATTTCCACACTATTTCCTTCATTTGTCGTCCTCAACACTTACCAATCATAGCGATGATGCTGGCAATTTGTCTTGTCCTCGCTACCCTGCTCGTGAGAGAGAGTCAGTGTATAGACGCCGAGGAACGGGCCCTCCGGAGTATGGAGCGGTACATGAACATCCCGCCTGTACCCAACACTCGACTCAAGCTGCATCGGATGTCTAGTTTTCAGGTGAGTTTCACCGCAAAAATGTTGAAGGAAAGAAAGCCTATAGTGTTTAAACTTAAATCAAGGTGGTAATAGCCTAAATATATATTTGTTTTTCTACTCGTGTCTTCAGTGTGACCAGCTGCAGTTCAATTCGTGAGGCTATGCAAAATCCTCATGGCATTAATTGTTACACAAACGTCATTAAGTGTTCCGAAATCTACACATGTACAGATAGATCAATTTTCAACACAAATCCGCGTTTGTGACAAATGTATTGTAATAACTGATAAATTGACAGCTCTTAGCAAGCCGGGAAAGGCATGACATACAAATTATATTGCATGCAAATTCTAAATGTCATGCATTGAATGTGAATGCACTTGTTCCAGGTAAACCATCATTTCCAGTGTTCTCAGCTCTGCTATCTCACCCCCGGGTGTCAGTCTTACAACTACCGTAAAGCAGACGGCATCTGTGAGCTGAACAACAGCACCAGGGACGATTCTGTGTTCTTCACTAAAACAGAGGAGGGATGGGACCACTACGAACGCTACTCTGCTCTCATCTCCAGGGTAACTCTTCCAGATGTTCTCCACTTTAAAAGGCTTGTATGATATCTTCTAGCGAATCGGGCATAACAATTTAATATTTTTGTAACCATCCGATTTGTAACGGCAACCCCGAAAAAACAATTGCACCCAGGCTAAGACTACACATCAGGACAGGGACAACTCTTTACCTTTGTAAGCATGTAGATTCTATTATGAAGCTATCTTAATTCTATAGAAGCCCCAAATCATCCTACAAACAGTGACACTATTGCTGTCACGTCACATTTTCTTGATACACAGCAGGATAGTAGCCTGGGTACCATCCTAGTTAGTTACGTCCACTCCCACAGTCGCTACCGACAAAATAGTGACATTGGTTAGTCGGTAGCGACTGTGGGAGCGGACATAACTAACCAGGATGGTACCCAGGCTAGCAGAATAGGCTAAAAGCATCGTAACTTACTGATGGCTCATGTAACGTGAAAAGACACCTGATTTTTGTTCCCCAGTCTTTGTGGTACGAGTGTTACCACACCAACCCCTGCGTGAAAGGTTCGATCTGCGTCCGTAAGCTGCTGATGGGGCGGGAACCGGAGAGATCACCCCGGGCACCTCTCTGTGTGTGCAGGGAGGGCTTCTCAGGGGCGTACTGCGAAAATGGGAGGTCGAAATACCCCTTAATGAAAAGTAAGAAAAATCAGCTCTTTTTGTGAAGAATGTGTAGCATGTAAAGTGTTATATAATCTTTACAAAGTAACTTACATTCACGTCTGCTCCACTTCTGGGACATCGTTTCATTGTAATGCATTTGCATGTTTACATAAAAGGTAAATTTAACACGAAAACTTTTCACCTGCATGTGTATTCCTTTCGAGGAAATCTGACTCCAAACGTCCAGGATACAGTTTATGTGAAACATCGTATACACAAACAAAATGTTGCCTTCTAACCGGATACGGGTAAATAACCCCCTCGTAGAAGGATATCTATGTGAAGTCAGCATACTTCCGAATAAATGATTTACACACTGCAAAAGCACGTAAATATGGCCGAATATGGAATGTATTCTGTTCCAGGAAAAGTATCGTGTGACGCAGTTCAGTACGGATCCAGTGGAAGTATTTGGAGCCCAAACTATCCCATGGTACACAGATTCTTTGACAAAAAATGACAATAATAAAATAGCTCACGAATAGAAGTGTAAATGTATCATATGTAGCAGAATGATAACATACCGAAAGCTTTTATTGTACATTTACAAGAACATTAAACGCAATTATGAAGAAGTACCTTGAAGTGGTATGCCTACTATCTATCTATCTATATAATTGATTTACGAATTTCTCAGATACGTAAGAGGGATGTTAAGTTTGTTGATAGTTTTTTTTTACATCGGCAATTGTAATTTGGAGTTAAGAGAATGGGTCTTCAGCCCATTGCTGTAAATGTCCTCTGCTCAACAGACCGAATGAATAAAACACAGACTTCAATGTTGCAGGCTTATAGCAACGGGAGCTGGTGTGACAGCAATGTGACGGTTGCAGAAGGACATGTAGTGGAGTTTACCTTTGACCCAGTATTCCAACTTGAACATCAACGCCACTGCCTTTACGATTACGTTCAGGTGAGTTACAAACTGACCGACTTCAGATTAGCATTAATATAGATCATCGATATGACACAGACCGATGTTTTTCATGTTTCTTTTCAATATTCACTTGTATGTAATACTAGTAAGATACTGCGGCTATCTTAAGTGGGGCATACAATGCGATTATCATACAATTCGCCGGTTCCCATGCACTTGGAAAGTTTAAGCGCTTCAACTAGTCGTTCTTTCAATAATCTTGTATCACTGTGGATGCTTATTTTGTACTCACTGTAATCATCGGCAATCAACTGCATTGTTGGTATTAAGACAAGACAGCTTACCACCATAACTGGTTTTCAATTGTTTGTTTGTTCGTTTATGTTTGTTCTTTAGCTGTCGGAGAATGGGGCCAACGCTAACCTCGGTCGGTACTGTGGGGACAACCATCCCGAGGGCCCCATCAGATCCTCTGGTCAGGAGATCACGGTAGAGTTCCGGTCAGACGATACCATTGTGGGTTCGGGGTTTCTGGTCAGCTGGAGGACCGTGCTGAAGGATGGTTAGTACTAAAACAACATCCACCAAATCTTTCCGTTAATAACGTAGGAGCAAGTCACAAAACAGAATGCACTGGTGCTATGTATACCATGTTGGGCACACTGATTTTCAGATGACCATGTATGTTGCCCTTCAATGGTGTTTTGAACATCTTTGAGTTCCTTGACAGTATCCTTGCTAGTATAGTATAGTATGATATGCAACAGTATCCTTTCTAGTATAGCTACAGTATGGCATACATGTATCAGTGACCTTGCTGGTATAGTATGATATAACAGTTGCTACTGTATATGATACGGTAAAATGATACGTTTCGTTCAAGGTCAGATCACAGCTTTCTGCTATTGACAGATATATTTACGTTCTATTCCTTGTATAGCATGCACGACTAAACACACGGGTACAGATCTCCAGTACAAGTGGGACCTCCCACCGCTCACGGGACCCCCCTTCACGTTTGAAGTGCAAGCGAGAACCGACGCCTATGTGGTGACTGCACCGCTAAACCAAGCCGCCGACGGTGACAATATGTACTCCATTATATTTGGTGGATGGGGAGGCGCAAAGTCTAGGATATACCGCTCCGGTAGCAACACGGAACTGGTCTCAACACCTGGTACGTTCTGTAGATAGATAACATAGTTCTGTTAATACATTGTACCTTTATTAGATGGACACTTGCTTCTCCCTAGCCTGGTTACCAAACGTATTATAGCTTCCGACCCGAGTCCTACATACTCTCGTCTACTCTAGTGTAGAACTCGGAAGCCTCCTACTCAGTGTCCCTGGTGTGCTCCCTCTCTCTGATGTACCTAGCATGCATTGCGGAAACACAAGCGCACACACACACACACACACACACACACACACACACACACACAGACAACCCTTCATAGGAGCAAAGTTAAAAAAAAACTAGAAAGGCCAATATTTGCTTTGGAGCAAATACAGCGATGGGTTCACCACATTTTACCACATGGCAGGGAAAGAATGAGAAACACAAGGGAAAACAATGATTTACATTGATATACCTATAATATGAAGTAACATACAACTAAAACAACAGTTGGATAGCTATTCCCTACTTTATTGGTTAGGATTTTTAATTGCATAATGCAAACTGTTGATTTTCAAAATAAAATAAAAAAGTTCATGCCCCGCATTCCAATGCTGGAGCAGAAAAGCTTGAAATACCTACCAAAACACTTGAATAAAGACATACTGTCAGTATGGAAATGCTCTGTGCAGGTGTTAATCAAGTTAAATCCCAACAGCCAATCAGCAAGAAATGCTCTGTGCAGGTGGAAATGCTCTGTGCAGGTGTTAATCAAGTTAAATCCCAACAGCCAATCAGCAAGAAGTATAGAGGAAAGCTGCATGCCTATTGGTTGATGCCCTGCATTCCATTGTGATGACTCATGCCCAGACGTGGTAAACACGGCAGACTAACACAGTAATACATTTGCTATAACACAGCCAAAAAACTCAAATAAAACCATTCTAAAAGCCTGTATCACAAAAATTTAAAAAACGCCTAGGGGTATTTGCCCACTGTACCTCCATACCAAATTTCAGGACCTTAGGCCCTAAAATGAAGAAGCTGAATCCATTTAAAAAATGGCAGGAGGAGGAGGAGAAGGAGGAAAAGGAGAAGAAACATCAGAAAAAGCAATATGGGTTCACCACCACTTCGTGGTGTGGTGAACCCATAAATATTCAAACACGGTGATTTCAATAGCTTCATAATCACTAACGTTGTATCATATACATCGTGCCTTCTCAGATATCCTCTCTGCTACACAGTACAAAGCCTTCTGGATTTCCTGGGACTCAGACGGTACCATTGCGGTTGGGAGGGGTGGCGAGGCAGACCCGTTTATGCGATGGGTGGACCCGAATCCTCTTCCGATTGGCCGCATCGGGTACTCTACTGCATATGGATCTTCCGGACAGTGGACTTTCTGTCCCACTGTCCGGCATGGAGGTAGAAAGAAAATGAGTTTTGGTATCTTAATACACACACAAAAAAATACAACGGAGGCCTGCGAAAAAAAGTTCATCATAATGTCATACATATACATTGTAAAATTTCAAAATAACATCATAAAATAATACTGTACAAAGTCAGTACATCTGTACTAAATCAGTATGAGTTTATTTGTGTTTGTATGTCTGTGTGTGTGTGTGTGTGTGTGTGTGTGTGTGTGTGTGTGTGTGTGTGTGTGTGTGTGTGTGTGTGTGTGTGTGTGTGTGTGTGTGTGTGTGTGTGTGTGTCGTCGTCGTCGTCGTGTACGTACGTGTGTGTGTGTGTGTGTGTGTGTGTGTGTGTGTGTGTGTGTGTGTGTGTGTGTGTGTGTGTGTGTGTGTGTGTGTGTGTGCTGTCGCGCCTGTGTGTTTTCGTGCGTGTGTAAATATATATCAAATTCATGAACGGCGAAAAAATAGTTCGTCATTTGAAAACCATTAGTTTGTTGGAATTGACGGGTTGATTTGTTGCTTTCTTACAGCGTGTGATACCAAAAACACTGCAGTAAGTACCCAGTACCACTGGGATCTCCCACCACTCACCAGATCACCCTTCATGTTTGAAGTCAAGGCTGATAAACACGTGAGTCTAGCCTTGTCATCCCAGAACAAAGACGTCGACATCATGTATGACATTCGCCTCGGCCAGGGATCGGTCAGAGAAATGTGTAGCATCCGCCGTGGCTCAGATGATTCAACAAAACAGAAATATACTCATCGTCGTAAGTGTCTGAACGTTCCGGATTCTTTTATGCCTGCCTCAATTTCAGCACTCGTATTTCCAAAAGTAGGCCAACTACACACGCGATGAGAATACCAAACGATATAATATAGCGTTAATACACATGAATATATATCTTATCATGGTACATGTACCTTCCGAATCGCGTGCGTAGTGGTAGAGACGCTTTAGCGATAGGGTTTTGGATTCATAAAAATACCTTTGCTACCGCTGACATTGAGCATTCAATGATTGAATGACGATACGTTGCCTTTCACAACAATATGCATTGACATCATAGATGAAGCTGATACATTCATCAGAACTAAGGCAATACACGCAATGGCCCAAATCCCCCACACGTGCCTGTGAATACCGCCATTGAAACTGAAAAGTGAAGATCACACACAGGCTAACATGTAGGTATTGAGAGGGAGTGTATTCGTATTTGTTGTATTTGTATTTGTGCTATACTAATACAAATGTATTAGTATAGCCGGTATAACCGCCCTTCGGCGTAAAACACCAGGGTGAATGGATGTTTCTCGCCTTCGTTTTAGACATCATCACAGCAGACGAGTACAGAAGCTTCTGGATATCCTGGGATCCGAACGGAGCCGTAGCAGTCGGAATGGCGGATGAAGACCGTCCGTTCATGCAGCTGGTGGACACAGAGCCGTTACCGATTGTCCATGTGGGGTATACTGTTCGCAGTGGAACCCAACTGGGACACTGGAACTTCTGCCCCGCAATCGCACACGGAGGTGAACGCAAAAGTTAACATGGTAGCTAACTCTAGGCCTTTAAATGATGTCAACTTTACCTTTTTCATATGTTTGGTCTGAATCTAATATACCTCTTCCCTCATCATCATAGTCCTTTGCATCCTGGCGGACGATCCGTTCGCTCTTCCCTCATGACATGAATGAAAAGAGGCATGCAGGCCGATTTGAGCTTTTGTTGAATGAAGAATGGTTCAAACAACTTCCTTATATATACAACAATGACACCAGCCGTAAAGAAGATATGGCACAACAACAATGCATGTGGTTCTATCAAATCATCAACTATGATTTACCTGTTTTGTGTAAACTTAGAAACCTCTGTATCTTGCAGGAAGACCACGAGACTGTTCTGCTGTGTTGAGTGAAGGGCACGAGAGCAGCGGGATCTACGTCATCTACCCATATGAGAATGACAGCGGGAGAAGCATCGGGGTGTTTTGTGACATGGACACGGATGGAGGTGGCTGGACTGTGAGTATACATAATTTTTTTAACGATTATGCAGAATATCCTCCTAAAATGTGACATTTGGCAGCTTCAAACGTTTGAAGCATCTTGGTAGTCCTTCAACTTCGTAGTCGAAGATGATAGTTGGCGTCCTGACTGTTAGTTTGAAGCATGCATATTTTATGATGCACATAGTTCTATCAAAACGTCAACTATGAGTGCTCTACTGATTTGTTGTGTGAACAGGTTTAAGATTACCAGCATTAGACCATAGGCACAAATGGTACGTCCGCTATTGTTCACATGACTGTCTCTCAGTTGGTATATCAAGGTCACTAAAAAGAAAACAGAAAACAAACAAAGGAAGTAAATAATTGATGGCAATGCGATACACAATATCATACCTATAAAAAAAGGAAATTTGTTTTCTCTTCAGGTTTTCCAGCGTCGTCAGGATGGTTCTGAAGACTTCTACCGGGGCTGGGCTGATTACAAGGCTGGGTTTGGCAAACTGGACAGAGAGTTTTGGCTTGGTGGGACATCACACATTGTGATGATACAGCTGCTATACTATTTGGTTACTATTACACAAGTTTTGAAACCTACATTGTCTTGCAACCCTCATGTACAAAGCTAAAACAGTTACAATGCACTGAACCTGGAACTCTCATTTCCTCTCAATATCATAGGTAACGACAAGCTCCACCAGCTGACCAGCCAAGCCCAGTATGAGATGCGGGTTGACCTGGAGGATTTTGAGGGCAACAGTGCGTATGCGCAGTACCAGGTCTTTACTGTGGGGAGTGAAGATGAACAGTACAAGCTGACTATTGGGGGGTACACTGGAACTGCAGGTAAGACCAAGAGACCAAGAAGTATGTATGTCGTGAGGCGATGTCACTACATGTGTATGTATGTAACGTTATGTATGTATGTATGTATGTATGTATGTATGTATGTATGTATGTATGTGGTAACTACATGAATTCAAAAATGTACAAAAATGCCCATAGTATATTTCTACTCGATATTATTAAAGCACTCCGAAATTGAATTGATGCAACTACAGCTAAAGCAAGTAGCACATTACGACCCTAATAATGTCAGCCCTAATATAACAATATGGCTCTAAGCAAACCATGTTGCCGATGGTTTTCTAACGTATATGTACACTTTGCACGACTGTACACCATGCCCCAGTTGCCATACATGGACTCGAGGTCTGCTGCCTGACGTACGCAATCTGTGTATCTTTATTTTTTGTAGGCGATTCCCTGGCCTACCATCATGGGAGGACTTTCAGCACCAAGGACAGGGACCATGATAGCTATGCTGCCTCCTGTGCCCAGATATACAAGGGGGCCTGGTGGTTCAGTGCCTGCCACAACTCCGGTCTGAATGGCCTGTACCATGGAGGTCCACATACTTCCAATGCAGATGGAGTCAATTGGGTCCACTGGAAGGGGTGGCACTACTCCCTGAAGCACTCAGAGATGAAGATACGTCCCATAGCTAACTAAAGCAGGGATGTTCGAAGCCTGCATGTTATGGTAGCTAATTGCCCTCCAATGGCTTTAAATATAAACGAACGTTTCATTCTTCAAAGTTTGAGAAAACGTCATACAAAACAACCGAAGTATCTTTCCTGTCTCAACATCAATACCTTTCTCAGTTACCGACTGTATTTGCCATGCAAAATATTTATCCTGTAAGCTAGTGCTGGTATACAGACAACACATGCTGCATGTACCTGCATGTACAGATATCTAATGCCTTATAACAATATCCAGTAAGACTGTTTGTTGCTCATACTGACAAGCCAAGCAAAACTCTTAAAAGCGCTTGAAATATTTAACATATATAGGAGTGTGTCGTAAAATGTCACTACCATTTCTTGATCATTGACAAAACATTCCTGGTAGAAAATGTTGTAATGTTTGTCTATGAATCATAATGATTGTACTAGGTAGTTACTTAGCAAAAGTGACAGACTCATAAGTAACCTTCCTATAAATGTGTATATGTGTATGATGCATGGAGGTACTTTTTATCATTATTTGTGACAAAGGTCTAGATTAACTATGACCTGTGTATCACTTGATAATAGTGATCAATAACTATAAACATTAACAGTTACATAATGTATGTACATAGTCAAGTTAGTCAACACTTTTCCTCTACATAAGGAAGGTTCACACACGTAAAGGAGGCGCTGATTTTCGTGTGTATGGGGGGGGGTGTGCTTAAATAAATACACATGCTCTTCAGGATCAAAGGTTTCCTTTCCATTGATGTTTCTTTTAGTCTAATGTTATACTGAAGGGAAATGCTTGCGATACACGTCTGAGTCGGCCAAAATAGCCGCGTGACTTTTTTTCCCTTTAAAACATTGCTCTATATACCTTTTCGTCTTTGTAAACGTAGCGTGACTTCCTCCAAACCCATAGAAAGTGTTGCAGGGGATTTCTTTTGTGAAACGAGCCTTGAAAGGATCCGTTAAACAACTTACTGCAACCTCTGCCTGATTAAAACAATAGCAACAGTTTCTGAGCAGATCCAATACCAAAATCTTGAAGAAGTTGAACGTTAAAACACTAATTCCGGAAAAGGCCACACGATTTGAAAACTTTGACCAAGTTTTCTCTGGAGCGATGCATGATGGGATACAAAAACTTTTCAAACTTGAAAAGGTCATAGGTCGGCAAGATGGCGGACCATATGTTGCACAGCGGCTACCATCACCCAGTTTTGCGGGAATGGCAGCAAAACGACTGCAAATTCAACGCGTCCAACCTGATGTACCCAATCTTCATCACGTAAGGTCTCTTTGGTGTACGTCTTGTGTAAAGTATCATTGTAAAATGATGTTAAAATTGTACCAAAAGCTGTAAGTGCGCTCGCGCACAGTCCAGGTTTCTTCCGCCCACAGGAGCTTTGTTATCTGACGGCTGTTTGGCAAGGACGTTTCCCACACGTGTATGTGACGATATGTGAGGCAGCTCAGACACAAACATATGCTACATGTAGTTGGTTTGATGCCAGTTCACCCAGGAAGTTTCCATAATTTTGTGTGACATGTTAAAAATACATGTAACGTTACATTCTAGATTGGTAGTTATCAGAAAAATAGTTTGCATGTTTTCACATGAGAACTTCATATGTTTTCTTTACCAGCGACGATGCTGATACTGTAGAGCCGATTGCAAGCCTGCCTCTTCAGTCAAGGTGAACATTAATTCAGCTGTCACTATAGTCTAGATCTTATTTATTATACACATTTGCTAGAACGTTAAAATTCCTGGTGAGGTATAGCCTGTAGGACTGGCATAATGATAACTACCTTGTATAAATGACTTGAAGTGTCTGGAAGAATATTATAATTACAACATTTTTTTAATAGTGAGATTTTTATATAATCATTTTAATAATCATAATTTGATCATGTGAAACTTACAGATTTGGAGTAAACAAGATAGTGGAACATCTGAGTCCACTAGTCAAGAAAGGTCTAAAGTGTGTTCTCATATTTGGGGTTCCTTCCAAGCTGCCCAAGGTTGGTGCTGAGTTTATGTACACTGTCCCTTTCCTTCCATTTGTTGATAATAAATGTCAATGATTGTTTTGTTATTGGCCATGTCATGCTAGAGTATTTTATTGGGAACAGGTACACATGTTGGCTTGCAGAAATTTCCAGTGATTGTTGTCACTGTACCTTGAAAAGAACCATTCTGTCAAAACAAAGGGCTGTCAGAATATATACACTTTGATGTTTCTCTCCTCTACAAATTAAAGCTTAGAACTACTAAAAGAAGAGCTTAATTTGATCTTAAGCACACTGAAGTACTTAGTAGGTTCTCTATTGGTTATGGGGTTAGGCAGCAGAGATAAGATTATACGAAGTTAATTTCCTTTGGCAATCACGTTTTGCAACAAGTAAGGGCATGACAGTGTTCACTTTTGTTGCTGTAACAGGTGTATTCTTCATTTTGTACTTAAGGATGACCGAGGTAGCAGTGCAGATGTGCCAGAGACTCCTGCTATCTTAGCTGTACAGAAGCTGAGAGAAGCCTTCCCAAGTCTCCTGGTAGCCTGTGATGTCTGTCTGTGTCCTTACACCAGTCATGGGCACTGTGGTGAGTTATGCACCAGTAACTGCATTCCATATCTTACAGCAGGGTTTGTGTTTGCTTTGTAATATCAACGTATCATTGAATCTATTGAAATTCACCGCAAATGTTTTAACAATGCTTCTCATCCTGTGTGAAATTTTATTATGTTATGAATTAACCACAAATGTCAAATTGCATGGCTTCAATTCTTCAAAGCATAATTCATACTCATAGGACAGTAAGTAGGTGTTGGTTTTTTAAATTGATTTATCTAATAGTTGTAAGTTTATTCTGCTGTTGAAGGGTTAGTATTTCAAGGGTTTTAAAGTTTCTTTGCTTGGGATCTTCATTCAAGTGTTAGTATTAGTATTTAAGCCAGTATTTAAGCCAAGCAGGTACACACAGCATGTATTGTGTGTATACTACATGTAGCTTACAGGCTACCGGTGATGGTGACCCGAGAAGAAGAAGCTTACAGGCTAAATACCGTATTTTAGATAGCAAGCACAGTTAACTGAGAAGAGCATTGATGTTGAGACAGGAAAGTACATTCCTGCAGTCTGATACAGCATTTGTTTTGCAGAAATGTTTCTAAAACTTTGGGGGATTGATCGATGAGTTGAAAGTCATGTTGAAGGCCAACAGCTAGTATGACATGGAACTTCCAGCTTTTGTACACCCCTGCTTTAGTTAGCTATGGGACGTATCTTCATCTCAGTGTGCTTCAGGGAGTAATAGTAGCCCTTCCAGGTACTCCAGTTGACCCCATCTGCAGAGGAAGTATGGGAACCTCCAAGATACAGGCCGTTCAGGTTGGAGCTGTGGCAGACATGGTACCACCAGGCCCCCTTGTGCCTTTGAGCACAAGCGTGAGAATGATAGTCCCTGTCCTTGGTGCTGAATGGCATTCCGTTATGTGTAGAGCTCATGGAGTCTCCTGCAAAAAGGTACATAGAGTCCTTGAAGGAATGGAACTTAAAGTCATGTAGCAGAACTCAATTTGATCTCTGCATGAAAACTGAGGCATGGTGTACAGTTGTGCAAAGAATACTTTTATATGTACCAGCTTTACTTTGAGGAATATTGTTATTAGAAGTGATAGTGTGATACTACTTCCCAGATACATGTAATTCTCTTTGCAGTCTGGCATTTGCATCAATTTCAGAGTGCGTTGGACAGAAATATGAAATGAGTAACTGTACATTTATGTAGTTGCCACATTCATCTGTACAAACTTCTTAGTCCTACCTGCTGTCCCATTGTATCCACCAACAGTCAGTATGTAGTGTTCAGCTTCACTCCCCACAGTAAAGACCTGGTACTGCGCATACGCACTGTTGCCCTCAAAGTCCTCCAGGTCAACCCGCAACTCATACTGGGCTTGGCTGGTCAACTGGTGGAGCTTGTCATTACCTTTATTTGGTAGCAAGGAAAAAGGAAAATGTTCCATCAATATTTGGGGCAGCACATTTACATGTATGTCTTTGCTTTAAACTTTTCTTAGCTAGATTTGTGGACATTTAGAATTTTTCAAAACTTTATAATTTCCCACCTAGCCAAAACTCTCCATCCAGTTTGCCAAATCCAGCCTTGTAATCAGCCCAGCCCCGGTAGAAGTCCTCAGAACCATCCTGACGACGCTGGAAAACCTGAAGAGAAAGGCCAAATTCTCTTTACAAACTTTATACATATATATGTACCACCTTTCAGTTGATAATTCATTTTCTGTGACTCTGATTGAGAGACAAATAAGTCATAGATTATCATAGTGAATGTAACCATAAGAAAGCAACTTTCCAGTGTTGAACATTTTGGGAGTTCCTTGCTGCAATTGGAAAATAAATGATGATACATGGTATAAATATATGAGCAGAGCTAAACATCAGTACTCACGGTCCATCCACCACCATCTGTGCCCATGTCACAAAACACCCCGATGCTTTTTCCACTCTCCTGGACATCGTTGAAATAGGGATAGATGGTGTAGATCCCACTGCTGTCATACCCTTCCTGCAGCAGGTCGGAACAGTCACGGGGTCTTCCTGCAAGGTTAACAACAGTACTGTTATCATACTTTTGTTTCATGGATGTTAGCTATAGTCAAATGCGTGCATGCAAAAATTGATGCTGTTAACTTACATAAACTACAAGTCATCATTCCTTTTCCATTATTTTTAGGGAAACAGTTAGGCTAACCTTGCAAGGTCTGTATCAGTTGCATCTGATTTTGTAGTTGAGCCTGCAGAACAAGAATTGTTTGCTCAATACTTGACAATGTACATTTGTAAGACCATATGAACAGTTATGTATTTTACACATTACTTGTACATTTGATATAACATATAAATACAGTATTAACACAGAAAACCACAAAAATGACAGAGAATTCCACTATTTGTTATGTTTTAAAATTTGTATAGCATTGAGTTAAATAATGATACTAGAGTAACTAGATGTTAGGGAGACAGTACAAGCAAGTCATACCATGCCAACCTGTTGACTGGACACCATGTTCTGTAGTTGCTCAACAGTATTCTGTAGACTGGAAACCTGGCTTTCTTGTGCAACCTGGTGACTTGAAAGCTGGCTCTGCAGTTGCTCAACGGTAGTCTGCAAACTGGACACTTGACTTTCCTGTGCACAGGTGGCAGTATGTGTAGCCTGGTTCGCACAGCACAGGGCACAGTGGTCACTGGTCTCATGTCCAACAACCACTCCCTGTTCTAACTCATTACCTGGCCACTGGGCTGTGGTCTGGCCTCCCATAGAGGAGAGGATCAGGCACAGGACAAGTGGAGTCATCATGGCTCAGAGATACTGTATTCTGTTAGAACCCACTAAGCCCAACTCTTCTCTGTCAATCTCAGAGTGCTGGTCAGTTCAGGGGCTACTTGGTATAGATTGGGAGTGGATGTAACTATTTTACAATATGGGTGTGTGGGTGTGCGTATGTAGGAGTGATTTTACTTCCAGGTTTTACATTTGAAAACCTGTTGTCTGTGTTATTTGTTACAGTTTGACTGTTATGCACTTACAGAATGACACTGTAGGTTTTCATGAGGAGATGATGTAACATACACTAGTCTGTAGCATATATTTGAGGACACCCCTTGGAAGTGCTTTCTTCCAGTTGCTGGCATGTCCAAAAATTATGGCTCCCAGACTAAAACATGCTGTTTGGTCTAATAGATATGTGTGTGTTGACTTCTCAGTTATTCATTGTAAACATTGCCATTAACTTAATGGACATGTTTGTGTTTGAACATTTATTTATGAGAAGAAAGTTTGCTGAGCCTTGGTTAATGTCTCCAAATGTTTTTGGACCAAGGAGCTGCCAAACACAGGTGTAAAACTTTACAAATTTTACTTTTTGTAAACAATTGATCCTTCCATAGGGCATTGAAGTAATAGTGATATGGAAGTGTATTATTAAATCCAAACACTCAGTAATGGAAAAAAGGTGATTTGAATTCTGTTGTTTAAACAAGGAAAGAAAGTCTCTTTATTATTATACAATACAGTACATTCATAATTCAAACTAACTGGCAATTCATTCAGAGCAAAATTTATTGATACATCCATGGTTCGTTAAGCTTATACAATGTATATCATCTTAGCAAATTAACATTGTAAGAGTTATGAAATAGCAAGTAATTTTTGTTTTTCAAGTTGTGCTGATGACCCATGGTCAATGTGACAAGCTAACTAGTACATGTCACTCCCCTGCTTTAGTTAGTTATGGGACGTATCTTCATCTCAGTATGCTTCAGGGAATAGTAGTGGCCCTTCCAGGCAAGCCAGTTGACTCCATCTGCATAGGAGGTATGGGAACCTCCATGGTACAGGCCATTCAGGTTGGAGTGGTGGCAGCTGCCGTACCACCAGCCCCCCTTGTAGGACTGGGCACAGGAGCCAGAACTCCCATCATAGTCCCTGTCCTTGGTGCTGAATGGAAAACCATTATGTTTGTAGACCATTGAGTCTCCTGCAAAAAGATACATATTATGCTTGAGCTCAGTCATGTAGCAGAAATCAGTTCAAATCTGTCAAACTTTAGGCAAGGTGTCCAGTCATGCAAAGTATACAGGTACGTACAAACAAGCTAATAAGTAATCTTAGTCTTACCAGCTGTCCCATTGTATCCTCCAACAGTCAGTATGTAGTGTCCAGCTTCACTCCCCACAGTAAAGGCCTGGTACTGCGCATACGCACTGTTGCCCTCAAAATCCTCCAGGTCAACCCGCATCTCATACTGGGCTTGGCTGGTCAGCTGGTGGAGCTTGTCATTGCCTTAAATGTGTTAAGGAGGTCTCTTAAATGATCCCATGGCCAACATGTTGTATCTTTATTTGTGCGTGTACATGATAAAGCAACATTGGCCACCAAGGCACATCATATTGTCATTGTACTTCAAATGTATTTTTATAGTACTTCAAATGTATTTTGACAACAATACAATGTGTGTGACTCCCCACCTAGCCAAAACTCTCCGTCCAGTTTGCCAAATCCAGCCTTGTAATCAGCCCAGCCCCGGTAGAAGTCCTCAGAACCATCCTGACGACGCTGGAAAACCTGGAGAGAAAGGACAAATTCTCTTCTTAATGCACTCATTACATAGTAATTTCTGTAACACTGTGAGAGGTACAAGACAGTTACCATTTACAGTGGATGTACAAGACAGTTGTGTTTTTATCTTATCTGCATGCACATTCTTCTCATAATTTAGCAATGTAGCGCCCCAGTGAGTTATCTCCTGCATACTAAAGAATGCTACTTTTCAGTGTAAAATATTTTTGGTTGTTCCATTCTACAATTGTATATGATATAAGTAAATGGTATATTTATAAGCAGAGCTAAACTTCAGTACTCACTGTCCATCCACCACCATCTGTGCCCATGTCACAGAACACCCCCACACTTTTTCCACTCTCCTGGACATCGTTGAAATAGGGATAGATGGTGTAGATCCCACTGCTGTCATACCCTTCCTTCAGCAGGTCTGAACAGTCACGGGGTCTTCCTGCAAGGTTACAAATGTTATCATACCTTTGTTTCCATGAATGTTAGTAGTCAAATGCGTGCGCATGCAAAAAGTGATGCTGTTAACTTAATATAAACTACAAGTCATCATTCCTTTTTTCATTATTTTTAGGGAATACAGGTAGGCTAACCTTGCAAGGTCTGTATCAGCTGCATTTGGTTATGTAGTTGAAACTGCAAAACAAGAATTGTTTGCTCAATACTTGACAATGTACATTTGTAAGACCATTATGAACAATATGTATTTTACACATTACTTGTACATTTGATATAACATATAAATACAGTGTTAACACAGAAAACCCCCCAAAAAATAACAGAGGGTTACACTATTTGTTATGTTTTAAAATTTGTATAGCATTGAGTTAAATAATGATTACTAGATGTTAGAGACAGTAGAAGAGGTCATTCTAACCTGTTGACTGGACACCATGTTCTGTAGTTGCTCCACAGTATTCTGTAGACTAGAAACCTGACTTTCTTGTGCAACTTGTTGACTGGAAACCATGCTCTGCAGTTGTACAATGGTATTCTGTTGAGTTGAAAGCAGGCTCTGCAGTTCCTCAACAGTAGTCTGCAAACTGGACATTTGACTTTCCTGTGCACAGGTGGCAGCATATGTAGCCTGACTGGCACAGCACAGGGCACAGTGGTCACTGGTCTCATGCCCAACAACGTTAACCACACCCTGTTCTAACTCATTACCTGGCCACTGGGCTGTGGTCTGGCCTCCCATAGAGGAGAGGATCAGGCACAGGACAAGTGGAGTCATCATGGCTCAAAGATATTCTGTTAGAACCCACTAAGCCTGTTACTCTTCTCTGTCGGTCTCAGAGTGCTGGTCAGTTCAGGGGCTACTTGGTACAGATTGGGAGTGGATGTACCTATTTTACAATATGGGTGTGTGTATGTAGGAGTGATTTTACTTCCAGGTTTTACATTTGAAAACCTACATGTATTGTCTCTGTTATTTGTTAGAGTTTGACTGTTATGCGCTTACAGAATGGCACTGTAGGTTTTCATGAGGAGATGATGTAACATACACTAGACTGTAGCATACATTCAGGACACCCCTGGGAAGTGTTTTCTTCCAGTTGCTGGCATGTAAAAAAATTATGGCTCCCAGACTAGAACGTGCTATTTCTTCTAATTGATGTAAGAAATAGCATGTTGCATTGACTTCTCAGTTATTCACTGTAAACAATGCCATTAATTTGTTGGAAATGTTTGTGTTTGAACATCATGAGAGGAAAGTTTGTTGAGCCTTAATGTCTCCAAATGTGTTTGGACCAAGGAGCTGCCAAACACAGGTGTAAGATTGTAAGCAACTTTTACTTTTTGCAAAATAGAGCCATGGAACTGATATGAAAGTGTGTTATTGAATCCAAACAGTCTGAAATAAGGTGATTGGAACTCTGTTGTTCATACAAGGAAAACAAAGTCTCCTCCTAATTATACAGATCATCATAATTCATACTAACTGGCAATTCATTCAGAGCAAAATTTATTGATACATCCTTGGTTTATTTAAGCTTATACATGTGTGTACATGCATATCATCTTAGCAAATTAACATTAGGATTTATCAAATAGCAAGTACATTGTACTTTTTTTTATTTTGAAGTTGTGCTGATGACCCTTGGTCAATGTGATAATGTTGCAAGGTAATTACATGTAGTACATGTCACATCCCTGCTTTAGTTAGTTATGGGACGTATCTTCATCTCAGTGTGCTTCAGGGAGTAGTAGAGGCCTTTCCAAGTACGCCAGTTGACTCCATCTGCATAGGAAGTATGGGAACCTCCATGGTACAGGCCATTCAGGTTAGAGTGGTGGCAGACACCGTACCACCAGCCCCCCTTGTATCTTTGGGCACAGGAGCTAGTAAAGTCATCATAGTCCCTGTCCTTGGTGCTGAATGGCTTCCCATTATGTTTGTCGACCATGGAGTCTCCTGCAAAAAGATACATATAATGCTTGAACTCAGTCATGAAGCAGCTAGAAATCAGTTCAAATCTGTCTAACTTTAGGCAAGGTGTCTAGTCATCCAAAGTGTACATACTACATACATACAAACAAGTTAAGTCATCTTAGTCTTACCTGCTGTCCCAATATAGTTTCCTACAGTCAGCCTGTAGTGCTCAGCTTCACTCCCCACAGTAAAGACCTGGTACTGCGCATACGCACTGTTGCCCTCAAAATCCTCCAGGTCAACCCGCATCTCATACTGGGCTTGGCTGGTCAGCTGGTGGAGCTTGTCATTACCTAAAAGTTTGTATTATAAAAAAATACTATTAAGGAGGAGATTTTTTTTAATGATTGCATGGCTAACATTTTGTAACTTTATTTGAGCAATTTGTTACATATACATGTAGCTTCATACATATAAGAAACATTGGAAACCAAGTCACATGATATGTACTTCAATTTTTTTTCAAAGTTTTTCATGACAACATGTGACTCCTCACCTAGCCAAAACTCTCCGTCCAGTTTGCCAAATCCAGCCTTGTAATCAGCCCAGCCCCGGTAGAAGTCCTCAGAACCATCCTGACGGCGCTGGAAAACCTATAGAGAAAGACCAAATTGTTTTATGCACCTAATTTTACATAGCAATACATGTATCTGTGACACTGATTGAAATACAAATATTGAGTTACAGTTATACTGGATGTTTAAGTGTGTATCTGTGGATTCTATCTCCTAATTGAAGTTCAAGTTTTATTAAGAAAGAAACTCATGGGTCTGAGTAGCATCCGTATTGCAAAAATATAACATTTAGATATACATGAGTAAAACTATGAAACCTACTCATCGTCTGAGTAAAGTTGCACCCATCTCGTATGTACTAAAGAACGCACCTTTCATTGTTGAACATTTTGGGAGTTCCTTGCAACAATTGGAAATTATGGTACATGATATAAGTAATGGTTAGTGTACAAGCAGAGCTAAACATCAGTACTCACGGTCCATCCACCACTGTCTGTATCCATGTCACAGAACACCCCAATGCTTTTTCCATTGAGCTGGACATCATTGAAATTGGGATAGATGGTGTAGATCCCACTGCTGTCATACCCTTCCTTCAGCAGGTCTGAACAGTCACGGGGTCTTTCTGTCAGATTATGTTATTAAGATCGTTATTTAGTACATTCTCTGTACTGCCATTTAAATTTTACTTTTTAAAAAGTCAGATATCGATGCAGGAACCTGATATTGTATCTATTGTGCAAGATGTAACTCGTGATTTAATAACCCAAACTAACCTTGCAAGGTTTGTAGTGTTTGATGCAGTTCAACCTGAAAAAATAATGATAATAATATTTATATTAATAATTTAGAACTGCTGCTAGCTTATCCAATTGACTGATTTTAGAAATGATTCGTGTATAGTTGCTTTTGCACACAATTTTTAATTTGCAGATTGAATCATCTTTAGCCAGATTGTGGTAGATTGGTTGCTTGAACATATTATAAGCTTAAGATAGAATTATGCAGTTTGGCCCTGTTTGCAGTATGGTTAATCAATACAAACGATGAAACGATGGTAAGTTGGTAATTAGTAATCTCCACCAGACTCCACAGGTTGATGGAAACATAGTAGATTGAGAAATTGAATGATTACCTGGCCACTGGGCTGTGGCCTGGCCTCCCATAGAGGAGAGGATCAGGCACAGGACAAGTGGAGTCATCATGGCTCAGAGATACTGTATTAGAACCCTAAGCTGTTAGCCCAACTCTTCTCTGTCTAATATGTTTCAGCAACTCAGGTAGTCTGGTAGAGACAAGCAAGTTTGTACAAGTAAGTGATGCTAACCTGTTGACTGGAAACCAGGCCCTGTAGTTGTTCAACAGTATTCTGTAGACCGGAAATCAGGCTCTGCTGCTGCTCAACAGTATTCTGTAGACCAGAAATCAGGCTCTGTTGCTGCTGAAAAGTATTCTGCAGACCAAGCACCTGGCTTTCTTGTGCACACGTAGCAGCATGTGTAGCCTGGCTGGCACAGCACAGGGCACAGTGGTCACTGGTCTCATGTCCAACAACCACTCCCTGTTCTAACTCATTACCCTGCCACTGGGCTGTGATCTGGCCTCCCATAGAGGAGAGGATCAGGCACAGGACAAGTGGAGTCATCATGGCTCAGAGATACTGTATTCTGTTAGAACCCACTAAGCCCAACTCTTCTCTGACAATCTCAGAGTGCCGATGAGTTCAGGGGCTACTTGGTATTGTGTATGATTGGGATTGGACACACCTATTTTACACTATGGGTATGTGTATGTAGGAGGGATTTTACTTCCTGGTTTTACATGTGATAAGAGAAAACCTGTTGTCTCTGTTATTTGTTACACTTTGACTGTTATGCACTTACAGAATGACACAGTACATGTAGCTTTTCAAGAGGAATTAGTGATGTAACATACACTAGACTGTAGCATACATTTGAGAACACCCCTGGGAAATGTTTTCTTCCAGTTGCTGGCATGTGAAAAATTTTCTTGACTCCAAGACTGAAACGTGCTGTTTGCCTTATTCACACACACAAGCCTGTAAACAATGCCATTAATTTAATGGACATGTTTATGTTTGAACATTATGAGAAGAAAGTTTGTTGAGCATTAATGTCTTCAGATGTGTTTGGACCAAGGAGCTGCCAGATATAGGTGTAAGATTGTAAACAACTGTTATGTTGTAAACAATGGATCCTTACGTAGAGTCATTGAAATGATATGGAAGTGTCTTATTGAATCCAAAACACTCAGTACTGGAAATGAGGTGAATTGAATTCTAATTGTTCAAACAAGGAAAATAAAGTCAAGAGTTCATATTCATACTAACTGGCAATTTATTCAGAGCAAAATTTATTGATACAACCATGGTTGGCTAAGTTTAACATGTATATCATCTTTAGCAAAAAAACATTGAAAGATTTATTGAATAGCAAGTAATTCAAAGTTGTGCTGATGACCCTTGGTCAATGTAACAATGTTACAATTAGTACATGTCACATCCCTGCTTTAGTTAGTTATGGGACGTATCTTCATCTCAGTGTGCTTCAGCGAGTAATAATCACCCTTCCAGGTCTGCCAATTGACTCCATCAGCATAGGAAGTATGGGAACCTCCATGGTACAGGCCATTCAGGTTGGAGTTGTGGCAGCTGCCGTACCACCAGGCCCCCTTGAAGCTCTGGGCACAGGAAGCAGGATAGTCATCATAGTCCCTGTCCTTGGTGCTGAACGGCTTCCCGTTATGTGCATAGTCCAAGGAGTTTCCTGCAAAAAAGATACACAGAGTGCTCGAAGGAATGGAACTTAAAGTCATGTAGCAGAACTCAATTCTGTGAATGATAACTGAGGCATGGTGTACAGTCATGCAAAGAATACTTTCATAACCTATATATATGTACCAGCTTTACTTGAGGAATATTGTTATTAGAGGTAAAAGTATGATACTACTTCCCAGATACATACGGTACTTAGTAATTCTCTTTGCAGTCTGGCATTTGCATCAATTTCAGAGTGCGTTGGACAGAAATATGAAATGAGTAACTGTACATTTATGTAGTTGCCACATACATTTGCACAAAAAAAATTAATCGTCTAGTCCTACCTGCTGTCCCATTGTATCCCCCAACAGTCAGCCTGTAGTGTTCAGCTTCACTCCCCACAGTAAAGACCTGGTACTGCGCATACGCACTGTTGCCCTCAAAATCCTCCAGGTCAACCCGCATCTCATACTGGGCTTGGCTGGTCAGCTGGTGGAGCTTGTCGTTACCTTTATTTGGTAGCAAGGGACAAACGTAAATGTTCAGTCAATTTTGGAGGCAGCACATTTGAAAAAAAATAGCTGCATTCATGGACATTTGGGATTTTTGAAAACTTAATAATTTCTCACCTAGCCAAAACTCTCCGTCCAGTTTGCCAAACCCAGCCTTGTAATCAGCCCAGCCCCGGTAGAAGTCCTCAGAACCATCCTGACGACGCTGGAAAACCTGTAGACAAAGGCCAAATTCTCTTTACAAACTTTATACATAAATTATATATGTACCACCTTTCAGTTGATAATTCATTTTCTGTAACTCTGATTGAGAGACAAATAAGTTATTATATGAAATTCAATGTAATATTACAAGTGTATCCTAAAGAATGCAGTTTTGACTGGGGTACACTCTACTGTATTCTTAAGAGTGCAACTGTCCAGTGTTAAACATTTTGGGAGTTCCTTGCTGCATATAAATAAATGATGATACATGATATAAGTATATGAGCAGAGCTAAACTTCAGTACTCACGGTCCATCCACCACCATCTGTGCCCATGTCACAGAACACCCCAATGCTTTTCCCACTGAGCTGGACATCGTTGAAATAGGGATAGATGGTGTAGATCCCACTGCTGTCATACCCTTCCTTCAGCAGGTCTGAACAGTCACGGGGTCTTCCTGCAAAGTTATCGAGATATCACACCTTTGTTTCCATGGATGTTAGTAGTCAAATGCATGCATGAGGTTGAGAAAATTGACAATACCTATAGCAACACAGAAATGTCTGGTGAAATAATCAATTCTGGTAAATTGCAAAAATCTTAATATGGTATCTTCTCATCATTTATTTTTATCATTATCTTCAGGGAATGGAAGTAGGCTAACCTTGTAAGGTCTGTATCTGCAGTTGCATCTGGTTATGTAGTTGAGCCTGTAAAACAAGAATTGTCTGGTCAATACTTGTACATTTGTGAGAACATTATGAACACTGTCAGTCATATATGTATATATACACATGACTTGTCTGTGTACCCGTCCGGTATGAGAACATATGATAAATGCAGTATTTACACAGAAAACCACAAAACTAACAGACAATTCCACTAGGCTAGAATTTGTACAGCATTCCGTTCAATATTGTTGGGGATTATTACTAGATTTTTGTGAGACAGGACATTAGATAATACTATGTAAGTCACACTAACCTGTTGACTGGAAACCATGTTCTGTAGTTGTTCAACAGTATTCTGTTGACTAGAAAGCAGGCTCTGCAGTTGCTCAATGGTAGTCTGCAAACTGGACACTTGACTTTCCTGTGCACAGGTGGCAGCATATGTAGCCTGGCTGGCACAGCACAAGGCACAGTGGTCACTGGTCTCATGCCCAACAACCACTCCCTGTTCTAACTCATTACCTGGCCACTGGGCTGTGGCCTGGCCTCCCATAGAGGAGAGGATCAGGCACAGGACAAGTGGAGTCATCATGGCTCAGAGATATTCTGTTAGAACCCACTAAGCCAACTCTTCTCTGTTGATCTCAGAGTGCCGATCAGTTCTGGGGCTACCTGGTATTGCATATGATTGGGATTGGACGTACCTATTTTCCACTATGGGTATGTGTATGTAGGAGCGATTTTACTTCCTGGTTTTACATGTGATAAGAGAAAACCTGTTGTGTCTGTTATTTGTTACACTTTGACTGTTATGCACTTACAGAATGACACAGTACATGTACAATGTAGCTTTTCAAGAGGAATTAGTGCTGTAACATACACCAGACTGTAGCATACATTTGAGAACACCCCTGGGAAATGTTTTCTTCCAGTTGCTGGCATGTGAAAAATTGTCTTGACTCCAAGATTGAAACGTGGTGTTTGCCTCATTTACACACACAAGCCTGTAAACAATGCCATTAACTTAATGGACATGTTTGTGTTTGAACATTATGATGTGTTTGGACCAAGGAGCTGCCAGATATAGGTGTAAGATTGTAAACAACTGTTATGTTGTAAACAATGGATCCTTACATAGAGTCATTGAAATGATATGGAAGTGTCTTATTGAATCCAAAACACTCAGTACTGGAAATGAGGTGAATTGAATTCTAATTGTTCAAACAAGGAAAATAAAGTCAAGAGTTCATATTCATACTAACTGGCAATTTATTCAGAGCAAAATTTATTGATACAACCATGGTTGGCTAAGTTTAACATGTATATCATCTTTAGCAAAAAAACATTGAAAGATTTATTGAATAGCAAGTAATTCAAAGCTGTGCTGATGACCCTTGGTCAATGTAACAATGTTACAATTAGTACATGTCACATCCCTGCTTTAGTTAGTTATGGGACGTATCTTCATCTCAGTGTGCTTCAGGGAGTAATAGTAGCCCTTCCAGGTCTGCCAATTGACTCCATCTGCATTGGAAGTATGGGGACCTCCATGGTACAGGCCATTCAGGTTGGAGTTGTGGCAGCTGCTGTACCACCAGGCCCCCTTGTATGCCAGGGCACAGGAGCCAGAACTGCCATCATAGTCCCTGTCCTTAGTGCTGAACGGCCTCCCATTATGTCCGATCGAGTCCAAGGAGTCTCCTGCAAAAATATACACACATATACACGGGCTTGAAAGAATGGAACTTTAACTATATGTATAGCAGAAATTCTCTGCATGATAACTGAGGCATGGTGCACAGTCATGCAAAGAATACTTAATGTAACCTATGTTTGTACCAGCTTTACTTTGAGGACTGTCTATTGTTATTAGAAGTGATAGTGTGATACTACTTCCCAGATACATGTAATTCTCTTTGCAGTCTGGCATTTGCATCAATTTTGGAGTGTGTTGGACAGAAATATGAAATGAGTAACTGTACATTTATGTAGTTGCCACATACATCTGTAAAAACACATTAATCCTCTTACTAGTCTTACCTGCTGTCCCATTGTATCCCCCAACAGTCAGTATGTAGTGTCCAGCTTCACTCCCCACAGTAAAGACCTGGTACTGCGCATACGCACTGTTGCCCTCAAAATCCTCCAGGTCAACCCGCAACTCATACTGGGCTTGGCTGGTCAGCTGGTGGAGTTTGTCATTGCCTTAAATGTGTTAAGGAGGTCTCTTAAATGATCCCATGGCCAACATGTTGTATCTTTATTTGTGCGTGTACATGATAAAGCAACATTGGCCACCAAGGCACATCATATTGTCATTGTACTTCAAATGTATTTTTATAGTACTTCAAATGTATTTTTAAAACAACACAATGTGTGAAGTCCCACCTAGCCAAAACTCTCCGTCCAGTTTGCCAAACCCAGCCTTGTAATCAGCCCAGCCCCGGTAGAAGTCCTCAGAACCATCCTGACGGCGCTGGAAAACCTGGAGAGAAAGGCCAAATTCTCTTAACGCACTTACCACATAGTAATTTCTGTAACACTGTGAGAGGTACAAGACAGTTAAGATTTACAGTCTGTGGATGTACAAGGCAGTTGTGTTTCTATCTCATCTGCACATTCTTGTCATAATTTAGCAATGTAGCACCCCAGTGAGTTATCTCCTGCATCCTAAAGAATGCAACTTTTCAGTGTAAAATATTTTCGGTTGTTCCATTCTACAATTGTATATGATATACATGTAAGTAAATGGTATATTTATAAGCAGAGCTAAACTTCAGTACTCACTGTCCATCCACCACCATCTGTGCCCATGTCACAGAACACCCCAATGCTTTTTCCACTCTCCTGGACATCGTTGCAATAGGGATAGATGGTGTAGATCCCACTGCTGTCATACCCTTCCTTCAGCAGGTCTGAACAGTCATGGGGTCTTCCTGCACAACATTCATGTCAGAATTAGCACTTTTCATGTGTACTTCCAGTTAATACCATCCAGGTCTTGAGCATTTAGACATTAGGTACATGTGAACATGACATTGTAGTGTATAACAAAGAGACGCCAGGATAAAATCCCTGAGTGTATAAATTAAATAAAAAACCTTTATTGCACCTTTATGCTTAGCCTATTACAATCTAAGCACTAACAGTAATAAGGCACATTGTAGTCCTATCACTTATGTAATCCTACAGAATATTGTAACTTCTTTATCCCATTATCTTCAGAGGTTACAGATACAGTTTGTCCTTTGATTAAAATTTTAATAATACACGTACAACCAAACTAACCTTCAAATGCCTGTAGCATTTGTAGTTGTTGAGATAGTTGAATCTGAAAAAAAAAACTTTCATGGTCACTTAGTCTACTTTTAATAAATTCTTTAAACTGATACTTACAATTTTATGTATATGTCTAAAGATGAGTGTTTTTACACACCTACAGTCATTCTTATCCAGATTTTCTTAGCACCCTTACTTTAAGCGAAGGATATAGAGAATAGTATGGACTTCATACTGCATACACCAAGGCTTTGAGTTCATCATGCTATCTTTACAATATTTAGTAACCATGTGGCATTACTGAGTGTTAACAAGACAGTACAAGTACATGCCAACCTGTAGACTGGAAATCAGGCTCTGCTGCTGCTCAACTGTGTTCTGTAGACTGGTAACCTGGCTTTCCTGTGCACAGGTGGCAGCATGTGTAGCCTGGCTGGCACAGCACAGGGCACAGTGGTCACTGGTCTCATGCCCAGCAACGTTAACCACACCCTGTTCTAACTCATTACCCTGCCACTGGGCTGTGGTCTGGCCTCCCATAGAGGAGAGGATCAGACACAGGACAAGTGGAGTCATCATGGCTCAGAGATACTGTATTCTGTTAGAACCCACTAAGCCTGTTACTCTTCTCTGTCGGTCTCAGAGTGCTGGTCAGTTCAGGGACTACTTGGTATCAATTGGGAGTGGATGCACCTATTTTACACTATGGGTGTGTGTATGTAGGAGGGATTTTATTTCCTGGTTTTACATGTGATAAGAGAAAACCTATTGTCTCTGTTACTTAATACAGTTTGACTGTTTTATGCACTTACAGAATGACACTGTTTTAAGGATGAGATGATGTAACATACATAGACTGTAGCATACATTTGAGGACACCCCTGGGAAGTGTTTTCTTCCAGTTGCTGTTTGGTCTAATTGATATGTGTGCATTGACTTCTCAGTTATTCACTGTAAACAATACCATTAATTTGCTGGAAATGTTTGTGTTTGAACATTGTAAGAAGAAAGTTTGTTGAGCATTAATGTCTCCAAATGTGTTTGGACCAAGGAGCTGCCAAACACAGGACTGGTGTAAAACTGACTTTACATCTTGCAAACAATGGATCCTTCCATAGGGCGATTGAAGTGATATGAATATTGAATCCAACCATTCAGCAATTGAAATAAGGTGATTTGAATTCTGTTGTTCAGACAAGGAAAAAAGTCTCCTCTTAATTATACATACAGATCCTTCACAATTTATACTAACTGGCAATTTATTCAGAACAAAATTTATTGATACATCCATGGTTTGTCAAGCTTATCCATATGTATATCATCTTAGCAAATTAACATTGTAAGATTTATCAAATAGCAAGCAATTTTTATGTTTTTCAAGTTGTGCTGATGACCCATGGTCAATGTTGCAATCTAGTTTGTTATGGGGTGTATTTGCATCTCAGTGTGCTTCAGGGAGTAATAATTAGCCCCTCCATTCCTTCCAGTTGACCCCGTCTGCATGTGAGGTGTGGTTTCCTGCATAGTAGAAGCCGTTGAGGTTGGAGTGGTGGCAGTGACCGTACCACCAGGCTCCGTGGTACTTCTCCGCACAGGGATTACCACTTCCATCATAGTCCCTGTCCTTGGTGCTGAACGGCCATCCATTGTGATGGGCAGTCATGGAGTCTCCTGTAGAAAATATAGTTCATTTTTTTTTGCATTTAGACATTATGTAAGTTGTATCTACAGGTTATGTAAGACAGGACAGTAAGTTTGATCCACTCACACAGTCACACAGATGGATCCCTACTATTTTCAAGATTTTGTTACATGAACATGTATGGTTCCTTTATACCAGCACATTTCTAGTAAATGTCGGGTTGTTTTTGGTGTGACTTTGGCAATGAGTTATGTTTTTTGGTGAAGTCCTACCTGCATAGAGGAGAGGATCAGGCACAGGACAAGGCACAGCACAAGAGTCATCATGGCGGTAAACTGCCTTCCCTGCTGATACTCTAAACCTTTCTCCAAACTAAACTGGTCAGAATATCAGCTGATGTGATAGTATAACACGTACATACGTAGGCACACCTACCATACAATATGGGGGTGTTGAGTCATAGTGCCAGGTTGAAATTTTTCTTCCACAAAAAAAATAAAGCCTCATGTCTCTATTACTGGTTAGCATTGTTCATGTGTTTACTTCAGATGAATTTCATGAATGTCAAGAAAAAATTCCAGCTTACATCAGTGGAAATTGAAGCCTACCCCTAAAAAAACATGGTGTTTGCTTCTATGTGCTGAGGTTTCCACATTTTAGCTTGATTATTAAACTATTTTTTGTCTTACAGATGTGTAAACTTATTCTTTGAACAAGGAACTTAAACTTGGACTTTGGGGATCCGGATTATCTAATTTGTATGTTGACTTTCGGCTCAAATTTTTGTATATTAGCAACTGAGCCATCCTGCCTGTTTGTACAGTTAAGTCATAGTCTTTTGAGACTGACTGACTGCAGTACATATAATTTATGTGATGTGTATGTGGTTAACGGCAGTTTGTCTAAACAATTCCATTAAGATAATATGGCAATGTTGCCAACATTGTAAAGGCAAATCTTGTTACCATAGTATGGCTCCTAAGGTATTTGAGACAACCATTTTTGGTCCATCTTTTCAAGTCAATTTTCAGTGCAAGTTGGATTCTTTTATTACTAATTCCTCACCCAGTGAAAAGGTCAAACAAGCTGATTTGAATTGTTTTTAATGTGAAAACATGGACAACAAAGAATTTACAGGAAGACCCTTTCAAAACCCTTGCTTATCTCGTACATATGTTGAATACAGGTATATTCTAAGAATCTACAATTTGATTAAATCAGATAGTCATTACAAGTAGCCTGCATGCCATCCGTTTTGTAACAGGGCTCCTTGTACTCACTAACCTCCCCAAAACTTTTCAGGTATAAAGCGGGCAGCTCCCAGGCTACAGACACAAGCATAAATTGGATACACACGCTTGCAGACTATTGAATGTTTGCCCATACAAATGTAGAGCTACATGTAGTAGTATTATTAGCTCCTTAGTTGTAACATCCCTTCTTTAGTTAGCTACATGTATGGGACCTATGTTCATCTCAGTGTATTAGTTGGAACATCCCTTCTCTAGTTAGCTACATACATGGGACGTATCTTCATGTCAGTGTGTTAGTTAAAATATTCCTTCTCTAGTCAGCTACATGTATGGGACGTATGTTCATTTCAGTGTGTTAGTTGGAACATCCCTTCTCTAGTCAGCTACATGTACATGTATGGGACGTATCATTCTTCATCTCAGTGTGTTACATGTAGTTAAAACATCCATTCTCTAGTTAGCTACATGTATGGGGCGTATCTTCATCTCAGTGTGTTTCAGGGAGTAATAGTAGCCCTTCCAGGTGAGCCAGTTGACCCCGTTCCCTCCGTTAGACACCTGCGCACCTGCCAGGTACAGCCCGTTCAGGTTGGCGTCGTGGCAGGCGGCGTACCACCAGGCTCCGGTGTAGGCCTGGGCGCAGGACGTGGGGCTCGCGTCGTGGTCCCTGTCCCAGGTGCTGAACGGGCGGCCGCTGTGGTGGGCGGTCAGGGAGTCCCCTGTAAGAGATGCATGTCAAGTGTCAAACCATGCCTGGGGGATTAAAAAAGATTCAGATAGAAATTTGAAATATACTTACAGAAGCAAGCAGTCTCTAAGATAGTACTCATCATTCTGATTTGAGAGTTAAATGTAAGAGAGAGAGCTGATTCTTGTTTTGTGTGATTAAATCATACATAATTGAAAAAAATGATGGCTTACTTTTGGAAACATCTCATGTAATAGCCTCTAAATAAAAGGAGTTGCAGTTGTTGTTTTTTTTTACTTTATATAGAAGAGATACAATGTATGTGGGAAAATATAGTAGTTACTAGTACTTATTACCTGCTGTCCCATTGTATCCCCCAACAGTCAGCCTGTAGTAGTCAACTTCACTCCCCACAGTAAAGGCCTGGTACTGCGCATACGCACTGTTGCCCTCAAAATCCTCCAGGTCAACCCGCATCTCATACTGGGCTTGGCTGGTCAGCTGGTGAAGATTGTTATTACCTATAGAGTAGGAAGGAAAACAAAAGTTTCTTAGTTGCTTACATGATGAGAGCAGCATTAGATTCTCAACCAGGGTAGCCAGTGTTTTCTGATGTATCTACTAGTATGACAATGTTTAACTTCTCACCCAGCCAAAACTCTCCGTCCAGTTTGCCAAACCCAGCCTTGTAATCAGCCCAGCCCCGGTAGAAGTCCTCAGAACCATCCTGACGACGCTGGAAAACCTGAAGTGAGAGAGAAAGAAATACAAAGTGTAGATTAAATGTTTTAGAGATTTGGATGCTAGATGCATTGCATTAAAAATGTCACTTTTCTTAAAGAGGATGCCCAGACATCACTCAGCACTCACTGTCCATCCACCACCGTCTGTACCCATGTCACAGAACACCCCCACACTTTTCCCACTGAGCTGGACATCATTGGAGAAAGGATAGATGGTGTAGATTCCACTGCTGTCATACCCTTCCTTCAGCAGGTCTGAACAGTCACGGGGTCTTCCTGCAATATCAGCAGTTATAGTTTGCGTGGATACATTTTACATTGTCTATCATAAACAGTAACAAGACAGAAGTAAAACTGGATGTCAATCATAGCTTTGCTATGAACATGGACATTGTTGAATTCGAGTTTACCTCAGTGTAGACTGTATTAAAGGGTTTGCTTTTTCCATAGAATCTAAGTAAGTCAGCAATAAAAGGCTTACCTTGTAAGGTCTGCATCAGTTGTATCTGAGCCTGCAAAGGCAATAGTTGTCATGTTATTTGTTTTTCGTAGTCCATTCCCATTTAATCTTTGTTAAAGGCATAAAGCAGTAACTGTTGTGTATTTGACTGAGACCATGCTTTTGTTAATAGAATATATGAGCAAGACAACACATAAAACACAAAGAACATAACATACTATAGACTAGTACTTAATTCTTTGTAGCATTGATAGTGATCATATACTGTGGTAGCAGAATGGTACATGTATGTAACTAACAGCATTTAGTAAATGGCACCAACCTGTAACTGCTGAACAGTATTCTGTAGTCCGAGTACTTGACTTTCCTGTGCACAAGTGGTGGTGTAGGAAGCCTGGCTGGCACAGCACAGGGCACAGTGGTCACTGGTCTCATGCCCAACAACCACTCCACCATTGATCTCATTACCTGGCCACTGGGCTGTGGTCTGGCCTCCTATAGAGGAGAGGATCAGGCACAGGACAAGTGGAGTCATCATGGCTGGGATTTTGTCTCCTGTTATTGTACAGTGTCCCTAGTTCAAGCTGTAGTCAGTACAGAAACTACATGCGCAGATAGGTGGTGGGTTGGTCCATTATACAATATGGCAGGTGTGTCTTTGGTTTATGTTTTGAAATTGAAGAACTGAGGTATAATTAATTATAAAACTTTCTTTTTGTATCATCTGTTGATTCATATTTTGTGCTTCAGCTGAATTGCATGACGTGACAGTAAGCAAGTATTTTGCATCAGTGCAATTCTACTTGCACCCCTCCAGAAAAAGTTGTCATTTTTACAGTTTATCCTGTATTGTGGGACATGAAATGTGCTCTAGTGTTTTTATGTACATTTTCAGCTATTTGCATCTAAACAGTGCCATTACCCTAATGCTGATGTTGCTACTTAGACATTGTTAAAAGAAACATTAAACTGCTTAATGCCCTCTAATGAGCTTGGATATGTGACGTGTCTAATAACCAGGTTAAGACAATAGACCTGGATGGATGAGACACACTTTTAGTGAAAGTTAAAGGGGTGCAGGGCTAATAGACTAGTCTTGCTGAAATCCTAAGACCTTATAGTTATACACCATACAACAGTTCCAACTGTCAGTGACTTGAGCATGTCTCGATCATGGATGTATCTCAAGTCATGACCTGGGGGAGAAGAACTCAACCCAAACTTATTTCAGTTCCTGGAAGTGGTGTCTGATATAGTGTTTTACATGTATGTTGACATGCAGGTATCTTAAGAGAGAATGGGACCATAAACAATGATGCCAGCACACAGCGACTGGCTGAGGTGGCCTTGGCTTATGCTCAAGCCGGTAAGTACTCTATAAAACTTGTCACTATTTTCATTGTTTGTAGGATGCAAAACATTTGAGGACAAGACATAGAGCTTCTGTTGGTAACTTTGGGTTTTGTAATTTATTAGAAGCAAATAATGTTATCTGGTGTTTTGAATTAGGTTTGGATGTTGAACGGAGGACCTGTGACTGCTTAATGTCCCGTCCTATGGACTGCAACCTTAGCAGTAGCATGGACATCGGGTGAAGAATAGCAGCCAAGACTACACTTGCTACTAATGTCTATCTTTTGTAATTCATCATTCAGGTTGCCAGATCATTGCTCCCTCTGACATGATGGACGGTCGTATAGCAGCCATCAAGGAGTCCCTGAGGTCCCATGGACTGGGCAACAGTGTGAGTTCTAGCATGTGAATAACCAAGATTATAGTGCAGAAACTATAGGATCTAACAAGTGCCAAATGAAAAAAGGAAACTTTTATATATTAACATTATACATTATACTATACTACTTTTGGGTCAAAATACTTTTGTTATTGACATGTAATCAAATTAAAATGAAGCATAGCTCATTTTAAAGTTTCCAAAATAGTTGCCAAACCTTCCAGGATACATGTAGATCTGATATAGGGAGATCACTGATTGTCTGTCTCTGTGCTCTTCTGACAGGTGTCAGTTCTGAGCTACAGTGCCAAGTTTGCCTCCAGTTTCTATGGACCATTCAGGTAGGAATTGTTGGCCTATGTACCATAAAGTTGTCATGATGAAGTGAAATATTTGTCCCTCGACATATTGTTGCTTTTTTTTATACAATGCCACTTCCAATCTTTTCAACACCGATATAGCATTGGCAAAAAAATATAGTTCGTAGAAAGCTTTATGAAATATTTTGCAGTATCTCTCTAGCAAAAGACAACTTTTCCATTTTTTATCGGATCTACTTTTCATCTCACACGTTATTTTCACTGCATCTAAATGCCCACCTTAAACCTGTTCCATCCTCTCAACACCCCTACTGTATTTGCTTCTTTTCCAATCTTCTACCTTCTTGTGGCCTTATCACCATCTACAGTTTTTAACATCCCATTCTCCACTTCCCCAGAGATGCAGCCAAGTCAGCCCCTGCGTTTGGAGACAGGAAGTGTTACCAGCTGCCTCCAGGTTCCAGAGGACTGGCCATCAGGGCTGTGGTAAGGAGTTCTTCACTTCCACTGCATTACTGCAGACATCAGCTAACTACTCCTAGTTTTTTAGGTATTTCTAAATCTGTCTTTTGTTTCTAACCTTTATCTAGGTGCAAGAACCTTACATTTTGTATTTCAGTTAGAAAGTGTTAGATATATATATGGTACAGTCAAACCTGCCCATGAAGGCAACCCAAGGGACCGGGATAAAGTGGTCTTCTTGGACAGGTGGCTTGTGCTAGTGAAATTGAGATTGGGAAAAAGCGGTTGTTACGGCCAGGTTGGCCACTTTGGCAGGTTTGACTGTAATGTAAAAGGAAAACAATCTTCCGCAGGAGAGAGATGTACGTGAGGGAGCAGACATGCTGATGGTCAAACCTGGCATGGCCTATCTGGACATCGTCAGGGACACCAAGAACAAGGTGATCACTAGGACGTTTTGGTTCAAGACCTAGAGTCTAGGAAACTATTGTATGAGAATAGAGAATAAAAGATTGCTATTCTATTGACCACAGCATTTTGAATTGATACCTTAACTTTTTCTTGTGGCATGACAGAAGGAAAATCTTGCTGAGTGTACTGCCTTGCATTAGCCTCTACCAGACTTGGGGAAGTGGCATAATAGAGCAGAACAACTCCCCTGTCATATCATCTGTCTATTTGGCCACTTTGTACTCTTTCCAACCACTTCCAGAAGCCTGGGAGAGGCTTAAGCCTTGCATAACAGTTGTACATGTACGATGTCAAAATTTCAGCTATTGTACCATGTCCAAAGTAGCCTTCATAAGGAAATGTAACCCAATCTCTTTCCTGCCAGTTCCCGAACCACCCCCTGGCTATCTACCAGGTGTCAGGAGAGTACGCCATGTTGTACCACGGTGCCCAGGCCGGCGCCTTCGATCTCAAGACTATTGTCATGGAGGTACTGACTGGTATGAGGAGGGCAGGTCAGTCAGAGATAGACCATTCTGTAATCATGATAATCATTCTGTTTATTGTGGAACAAACCTCCTTTGTGTCTTAGTAGGAGTTGTTTTAAACATTTGGTGATAAGAAATGTAATAAAGATTTGATATGTTGATGTAAGTGATGTGTGGTGTTCACTGTACAGCACAAATGGTATAAAGTCTGTGCCTGTGTTTGCATTGTTTGCAAAGATGTTTATATTACAGTTTACTTGTCTCAAAACCAGCTGCTCGGTTGGATATTTAATATATTATTATGAAGAAACAATTTTAAAATGTGTTACTAACTTGTAACTAGCACTAACACAAGTCATATCTCCAAAATTAGCTCTTGAACAAGATTTGTATTTATCAGTGTTTAAGTCCATGTACATATTGTTCCTTGAGTCTAATGTGTTTTTCTTGATTTTCCTGTAGGGGCAGACATCATCATCACTTACTACACCCCCCTCCTGTTGGACTGGCTCCAGGAGCAGTAAGGAGACACAGGAACTACGTCTCATTCATTCACTCAATACCTGGTGTAGCATCTCCTGAGCATTAGATGTGCTTGCACACTGATGCTGAGGCTTGTTGACAGCCTTACATGCACCTCTTATATACAATTTTGCTTCCAGCTCACAATCCTATCCATGGTCTCACTAATCATCACAGAGAACAATATTAGATCCAAGATCAGGCCAGAGAGATTTTAACAAATTTTTGATAAGATTTTTGTTGATTTTATTTTAATTTGAGTTGTCATTGAAAAATATTGATAATCTAGATGGAATAACTAGCAACTAGTATTCTGCAATGAGGCAATAACTGACATTAAAAGCAAAGCAGGTATCTTTAAACATGAGACATATATACAAGTGCCCAATTATGACCAAATGCAATGATTGCAATAAATAGATGATATAATCTTTCTATGAACCTTTCCCATGTTACTAGTCTTTTTTTCAAATACTGGATAATGTTTTCTAATTCATAGTTGTTACATATAGAACTGGAGAAATTAACCTATAAATATAATTTCTTTTTGTTTCCAAAAAATTACTGTAGCTGTCATATATTCGTTATCTGAATTCTTCAGATTGGCTTGAGATCAACTTTGATTGGCATGAGATCAATTTTGAGAATGAGAACTTCCCTTTGCATCAGGCATCTAATATAATGCCATCATCCATTTTAGATATTTTTAAAGAGAAGTAGGTAAGTAATGAACTGAAGAAGAATCATTACTACTTCTCCTTTTCATCCCTGCCGGTCTGCAGTTCCCCCACGTGCTGCCTGGGGGAGCTTCAAACCAGTTTTTGCAGGATGGTCCATTTGAGCTATGTTTGCAAGTTTGTGCGTGGGCTGTTGCATCAGTGTGGGTATAAAAAATGAAGTACACAAAATTACATAATATCAATCAAAAGAGACAAAACGAAACAGCATTTTCAATTCCATATAGTTTTACTATAACAACCCAACATTATCAAAGATTGTGTGAATGGGACCAAAAAAACAAGTTAAAGTTTTATTTTAATCTTAACACTCATTTTCATTATATTTTAGACAAAACCAAACCAAGCTCTCTTGGCCTTACATGTAACGTTATCTCTAGCCTACCTACATGTAAGTTATTTTTTGTTAAAAGCATATCTGTGCATCATACCAACTTTGCAAGAGGTTGCTTACACTCCATTTGAAACGGCGAGGAAATAGTTTATCACACTGTTAGACAATAATCAAGGCTTTCTAGTTCACAGTGAAAAATTATTGCAGTACAGTCCACAGTTTGGTCACAGGATTCAGTGGCGACTACATTGTGATCATACTGTGAGCAAAATCATTTCCACACACGTTTGCAAGATACTGAGATGTCTGCATCAGGATTCAATATCTTCATGCATTCGCTGGATCTCTGGGACTGCAGTTATCACTCTGAACACTAGAGGGCGCTATGAGTCCAGTGTGGAAGGCAGGCATCTTCAGCATATCCTCATGGTAGAGAAGGGTTATGTTCTGATGGCTCATATCTTCAAGTCAGAATCCTTACCACCAACTTTTCTCCATTCAGATGAATGCCAGCATTTTCTCTTGAGCTCAAGAGTTCACTGGCCAAAAATCCTTTAGCTTCCGCCCACGATCTCATATTACTGTGCACCCTCACACAAGTGTCTGAACTCTTTCACCAAGTCACTGAGAACACAGTCCACAAATCTTGACGGTAAAGTTTGATAAGAAAATGCAGGTAGTAGTGACGAAGGATGTTCCATCTCCATTCCATTGCAAAACTTTTAAAAAGATTTCGGGAGTTTCAATGCTGGAGTTTCAGATACGGCGTCAGTCCAGGTGGTATCTCTGGCGTGTCATCGATTTCTGCCGTCCTGGTGGGACCAACGCAGCTTCTGATGACGTCACGGCACAAGTCCTGCAGAGGTCTGGGGTTGCCTAGGTAACAAAACACAACAGAAAAGTGAACCTCTGGTTACTTATGAATATGTGCATGTAGAGTTGTGACAGTCTACTTTATGCTCGAGGAGGGGAAGATGGGACAATTCAAGATGAGACATTTCCTCTTTTTTAACACTCATTTTCTCTGTATTTTAGACAGGAACGTACCAACCTTTCCTCTTTTATTCATGTTGTTTACTAGTAATAAGAATTAGTGGATTTGCCATTTTGTTTCATGAATCATTTAGCCATTTCATACCATCAGTTTGTACACCAGCTTCACAGGCACGCAGCGTGGCAGCAGCTAGCTATATTACACTGAACGACCTAGTATATAGTTGACAGATTCACAGAATCTGTTTGATAATGATGTCACCATTTAGTTTGTTTTCTACAGTTTGTCAGTCTCACTCTAGTGAACTTTGCAAATACCACTTCCTAGTCAAATAGATGATCTCCATTATATATGCCTTGTCCAATAACCCATTCATGCACACTACGTGTCACTCTCCAAATTGTTTATAAATTCTGTAAGTAATGTCCTTTTAATCCCCTGGATGGGTCATTGATGGATGATACGTCTCTTGAGGAATTAAGTTGATTAGTTGTCTCTTTGTGTCTTATGTAAACATGGCCATCTGCCCACCCTATCTTTTATTCGTATCGTGAGTCCCAAATATGATACGAAAGAGACCATCCTTTAAACTAAGTGTAAGATTGAGAGTGCCATTGAAAAAACACTAGAATTAAGAAGTAGATTTTGTAAAGCGCACACTCAGTGTCTCAATGTTAGCACTGTTGCGCATTGCTAAGGGGCCTACTAAGGGCTATTTAAAACATACATGTAGAACACCCCTCGTACGATCTACTGGTACGCCCCGAAAGCATAACATGTGTTGTGAGTAGGACCGATCCATTATAATTTGGGGGGTGCTACGTCCTCCAGCCACTTGTTCATCGGCCAACAACCCTAGTGTTTTAGTAGTGGTCTTCAGGACGATATCCGAGACACATTTGTTTATTTGTTTTTGTTTGTTTATTTCTCCTCCCTGCAAGTCTCTGTCAACTTCGGACAAGCCGTCCAGTGTTTATAGTCACCTTTGTGTTTCTCCTGCACCTTTCGACCCTTGATCCCAACCCCCTCACAAGACGTATCAGTTTATCCCAGAGTTGACCAGTGGACTCCGCGATTTGATTTCTTGAAATATCTTTTTAGGATTATATACTCTTCAAACTAGTGTCTATTGAAATATAATTTTTACACACAATTGATAAAATTACAGGGGAGACAAGAAAGTGGCACTTATAAAATCAGTCGCAAGGTGGTTGCCAGGTGGCATTTTTTCTGAAGGATAGACGGTACGGACATGAAAAAATCAAAATACATTGATTCTACATGTAAAATTGTCGCCAACAACTTCTATCCCCCCCTCCTTACAGGCTGCTGCGTGCTATATTGTTGTGGATCGCTTTACCATACCTTATACAAAGGCCCCAATATAAGAGAGATGCTTTACTCACGAGTGAATCTGTGGATCCATTCTCCGATGTTCCGGTGGCCGAACTCCACCGCCTGCTCGTGCACAGTCCTGCCGCTGTCGTTCCTGAGGCTGAGGTCGGCTCCACACCTGGCCAGGTACCTCACCACGCCTGCCTGGCCCATCCTCGCCGCGTTGTGCGCCGCCGTCTCTCCCGAGTCGTTCCGCGCGTCCAAGTCCGCCCCGGCGCCCGCCAGGTACCGCAAGGTGCACAGGTGTCCCTCAAAGGCAGCGAAATGGACGGGTGTGTCTCCACCGCCCCACGGACGGGACGTGCTCGGGTTCACCCTCGCCCCTGCCCCGACCAGGACACGGCAGATCTCCGTGTGTCCTCCCCAGGCCGCCTCGTGCAGCGCGGTGTGCCCGAACTTGTTCACCAGGTTCACGTCTCCCAGCTTCGTCCTCACCAAAGTTCTCACGAGCTCAACATCGCCGTCTTCTGCGGCGTCGTGCAGACTCGGCGGTTCCGGGTTCGAATCCTCAATGTCAATGTCAACGTCCACAACATTAGACGGAGAAGACGCTATCCAGCAACATAGAGTATAAACGTGCACTTTCTCTACTTCAAACCGCGGTCTTTTCCAGTCCGACCGCATTTGAGTGTCCTCTTTCACCGGAGCTGATGCATCCTTGACCTTAGCGCGCCCTTCAATGATGCCCTTCATATTTTCTGATTCTGCAACTCTATTTTCGCTCCTGAGTAACGCGTTTCCGTCCTTAATGAAAGAATAAACGTCCGAGTTGAATTTCCGGCAGCTCTCCGTGGCGTTCTGAGCGAACTGCGGTCTCTTCTGACCACCCAACACAGGTCGCGACACGGTGGTCTTGTTTAGGTCTCTAGTTCGAGTCGCTGACATGGCTGTTTCAAAACACAGAAGTCTGTCGGGGACGACTCCGGTTCCAGTGCCTAAACACGGGCTGGTTTTGTCGGGCTGCACGCCGTCAACACAGATGTGCATGATATAGTCTTACTGCGTCGGTGTCGGCTTTGTGGTACAATCTAGGCGGTACGGCAGGTGGACTCACACGGTACATCCGTCCGCTCCAAGTTCACATGTACAGGACGCACTACTCCAGATGTGAAGGAACGCGAGAAATGCAAGATACAAGAGGATGGCTGGTTTAGACACACAGACCAGACTCTCGGTTTGTACGTCTGATATTTCTCTCGTTGTTCTGCCTCCCCTCCGATGTATTCACCCTGGTGTATCAGCAAAGACAGCTGTGTCAAGACGAAAACACGCGTTTTTGTTTTTCCGATGCCTCGTTTTTTCACACTCCACTCGCCTCTCCCCGTTTCCGGCCGGGTGACAGAGTCCTGGCGACGACCTGGCCCTTGTGATGCCCTTAAGAACCCTTAAGGGCCGTACGCTTCCGACAGGAGGTAGCGCACTTGGACGTTAGGTGTTTTTAAATGGGCCACAACGGCACAGGTTACTAGAGGTTTTGTTGGTGTTTCGTCGTCACTTCTGTGAATGTGGGGAACCTCCTTGTAGATGAACCCTACCGCAGACGTACGGGTCTTCGCAAGCGGAAGTCGGTGCTGAGAGGCTGGGCGGCCACTCCAGCGTGTTTACGCTAGTTAATCAGGCAAGCCCCTTCCTTAAGAAGCAACGTGCTTCAAGAATGCGGGTCGATTTTCGCGAAGAGTCTTCCGTTGTTTCACATCAGCAAAATGCCTGCGACGTGTTTAAAGGCAGTTAGTGGGAGTTGATTTATATGAATTTCGGATAGTTTGTTTCGATACCAATATTTTGACAAGTTTGTGTTCAGCAATGTTAGGCAGACGATTTCCAGAATCGTTGTCAAGATGCAGTGACCCAATTCCCACAGAAACGTTGGACGATTTTTTGTTCTCTTTACCAACCCCTTTTGTTGAGTCCTGTGACTCTGCCGAGTTTGAGTTGTCCAGAAGTCGGGGGGTCTACTACAGGGGTATCGACCTAACCCCAGCGCGCTGACAAGTGTACTTCCCGGCCCTCAGACTGGATTAACACCGACACAATCCTCTCCAAGCCGCGGCGCGTACTGCCAACAATGCCGAGCCCTTTGAGAAAGACTTGTCCCGGCTCCAGCGGCCTGCCCGACGCCTGTACGAACCCTGCTCTCCGGGTCTCGCACAAAGGTGCCGCGCTGATCTGTTTTGTCCCGTAGGTTTGGACTCGGAACCCTCAGACAGGATTTCCAACGCTAATCCTTCCTCGTGAAGACAAGTCCGCTCTCAGCAGCATACCACAGCCGGGTTCACCCTCAGCGTTGGTCCGGCCTTAACGACGTGACCGCTCCGGCAACTTCCAACGCTGTCCCTCCCTGCTCTAACAATAGATGCAGACGAGAGGTAGGCGCCACCTTTAAGTAGCTTGTGCAGGATGCCTTTGTACCTGACGTCCACTCTTCTAGATTTTTCGATACGTCGTCGTCACTTGTACTCACTGTGGGTGCGTACTGCTGACAGAGTTCTTTTCACAGAAGACGTTCTGCGAAGAAAAGACGATGCTCTTGTCTTGTACAAGTCTTCTTCAAGGTTCTCCCACGCAGACTGCACGGTAGATACAGCTCTCTACCGCGGTGGTTTCTCCTTTCTTCCTCCGCTCAGCTGGAAGCTCTCCCCCCGGAAAGCCCCTCTGTGTCAGCACAGCGCCAACAATCGCCTTGGCCAATTAAATCTGCAACATGAATGAAAAGAGAAATCTATCAATCTTCGAGGACGGCAATTTGTGCCCCGGCTGGAAACCGCGTGAGCTTTACATATGCAGGGCGGTTATTGTTGTGTCGTCCCGCCGCTAGGGTCGCGAGACGGTCGGGGATTCGTGGATAAAAAAAGGCTTGTCAAAGAAAACGGCCGTTATTTAAACATCTATCCCAGCCCAGGACAACAGTCAACACTGGGTAGTATTTTTGGCTGATAGACCAGTGGTGTTCCTAACGGTACGCATCAATGTAAACTATGGGGCTAGGCTGTCTTGTTACAAGGGCTAGAGGCTCACAGGACACGGCATTCTGGAATGAAAAGACGGGGGAAGAAAAGCAAATTAAGAATAATAAAGATTTTTCAATCGTATGTAATTTCCCCCTAAAGATTAAGATTTAAACGTAGTTATAAAGAAAGGATTCGTAGTATGTTGTTAAATATTGTAATCTTTCAGTAAGTAAACTATTGTACTCTTCGTACTCTAATGTACGTAATTTCCTCAAACATTACATATTTGAGTTATATCGATGTCGATCCGGATCCTAGTCTTAATACAGCAGATTTCAGGGCACGATTGCTATATAGTAAAACATATCTATGTTTCTGTCAGATGCAAAGCTGTTGTGTATCAAGAAGTCGAACCCAATAAGTTAGAATTTAGTGTTGAGTAGTTAGAGTAGTCACATACTAATATTGTTATCCATTGTCCATCCTTTATGTTCATGTTACATGTACTTGCAATTAGCGGCTACGGGCAAGAACTTGCACTAAACTTTCTATAATCAACCCTACCCAAAGATTCTTTACTGAGGGTCTATCTTGCCCTTTCCCCTTGGTGGTTACATTGGCCGGTGCACAGGTTCAGTCCCTACGCTACTACTAGTACAGCACCGCGGTATCTTGACTAACGACCCGGACTTCTCCCCCCGACACTAATTACCAGGTGTAGCTGTACGACACGCTCTCCCAGGACGTGCGCCGCCTCCAAACGACCGCCCCGGGACGGCCAAGAGCACATCAGCCCGCCCAAAGTCATTACAACCCGCTTTGTTAGAGCGAAGGCCGATAAATCATCTCAACCGACTCGGGCTGAGCTCCCCGCCACCTCGGGCGACGACCAGATGGTTTCATCTACCGCTGAATAGTTGTAATATTTCCCTATCAATATCATCTCTTTGCACATTATGGATAGAGCTTTCTCCACCGAGCAGCGGACTAGAAATGTTATGTCTGAGCATGTTATTGGGAGGGAATATCGTTAAGGCTTTTGTATTAAACTGCCCTGTTCTGACGAGGGTTGGTTGTCAAGGAACGCTACTGTCACCCTATATCTGCTTGGAGACTACCGTCGGACAAAAGATTTCTGATTGTCCTCCCATATCATATCATATCATGTCATATCATATCATATCATATCATCATGGTTGTCAGGATCAAATTCTATTATCAAGAAACTTAACGTTAATGGTTAAAGTAACTTTTCTATCAACGATCCAATGCTATATTGAACTTATTACCATGCATTACACTTTGCTCAGTTGTTCATTCACTGTTACCACGTTATGTCACCCTTTCTCAATTTTTATGCGCTTTCTTCGTATATGTAGCCTCTTTCATAATTTTTTTCTACAGCTAACTTGCTTTACCAGAGTCCCCCACCCCTCCTGATGAGAGAGTTGGGCTGCTCCAGTTGAGTATAATCCGCACGGCAAACTTGTTGTTGTTCGCCAGGCGCGGGAGTTTCGGGTCACTGGCGGGGCAACAGCGACAGTCGGGAAACACAAATTGAATCAGGCAAGAAATTAACCGTAGCAAGAGATTAAAAGGGGTCTTCTAAGGTCGACATTGTCCTGAATATCTTGTTTTCTGATGACTTAAATATAATTACCATAACGTACTTTTGTTGTAGCCAGCAATATAGTAGTTGTCTCTAATAAAGCTTAAGCCTATCTCTTTATATCGTTTACACTTATCATGATGTTACCCAACTTATCTAGTTGTCTTTAGGCCCTACAACCGTTCTCAAACTGGATTCCAACAAGGAAGTATGAAGAACTTAGGCAACGAAGTTCCTTTGTCATAAAAAAAGTGTATCAGCAAGCTTGTTGGTACGATGGAGCGTTTGATATAATCCACTCTTTGTCCTTTTTAGCGCGAATCGCATAAATACAAAAGCTTGAAATAATCGTTAAGAAAAGAAGGACCGCTTCAAGCCACACAGAAACGAATGATGTACTCCTACAAATCCGATTCACTTAATTAGGCTAATCTCTCCACTGTTCACAATGGATAAAGAACGCGTTGTAAAAGAGCTTTATATTTCCTGTATTAAATCTGTATCCGGGCCTCTTTAAAACCTTTCGAATCGTTCGCCACTTCAAGCGTGATAATTCACGGCAATAATTCAATCAGATCGCTTTTTATGCAGAAACAATACAGTCTTGAACGCATCATTCTCCGTCGAGAAAGGTCATAGCTTTTAGTTAGAGAACAAAGGGAACACTGGGCTGTAACCGGGCCCTGACACCACGGGAGGGGCAGCCACATCTGCCCGGCATGGAGACCGTGTCATCCCGCTAATGGTACAGCCGCATCTGGTACAGTAGGGTACGACTTGTTATGTAGCTTTAACAATGCGGGAAGTGGTTTGTAACGACGGTGTTGGGAGGGACGTGTAGAGAGGGGAGGTTATGGTGAATAAATCTGGGATGAGAAAATTACAGTTTGGGGTTTTTCTATGATGTGAGTTCTTTGTACATATCGGTTGGGTAATTAGTTTTACACCAATAAATCCATCTGAACTTCTCTTCTGTTACGACTAGACCTTTTGTTGTCCTTTTAGAATTTCTTACTCTTTTCTGACGTCCTTTAACCCGAATCTGGATATAGTCTATCTCATTTCACCCACTTCTCATTCATTCATTCATTCATTCATTCATTCATTCATTCATTCATTCATTCATTCATTCATTCATTCATTCATTCACTCATTCATTCATTCATTCATTCATTCATTCATTCATTCATTCATTCTTTCTTTTCATCATTCGATCACTATGCCAATTTCTCCCACATACCACAGCCTCATTCTTACTTACGACCTACATAGATTAGAAGAAGGGCTTACCTTGTTGATTAGTTGGTTGAATAATGTTCTCCGCACCTGCTTTCTGTGGGTCACCAGTACTGGTCTATGTAGAGCAGATATGTCTAAGACTTACCTGCGTTATGTAATAATGAGGTATTTGAGACGTACCTTCCCTTGAATTGAATACGAAGGGGTGTATTGAAGGTGTAACTCCACAGCTAACAATGGTCAGGGTATGTAACGTGACGAGCCTTACCTGTTGTAACGGTCTATGCAGAGACATGTACAGGTCTATGTGGAGTAGTCTAAAACTATGTCTAAAAGTATGTCTAAAACTTACCTGAGTTATTGTAATAATGAGCTGCTGAAGACCTACCTTCCTTTGAAGAGCTGTGTTGAAGGTGTAACGCCACAGTTAACGTTGGCCAGGTTATGTAACGTTATTACGTGCCTTACCAGTTGTAACGACCGCCGAGTCAGCAGAAGTGATGCCGGCCTGCCACGCAGTTGTCCGGGAATAACGTCCCTCCTGCTTACCTGGTGGCTATACCCGCTGGGCGTTCACCTGGCGCACGTAGACAGGTAATCCACCTGTCCACACCTGTCGTGTTAAGGTGTATTGTCGGTCTGGCAGGTGTAAGCATGCCACACGTCTGTGACAGAAGCTTGTTAAGCACACGGTTCCAGGTCAGCGGGAGGGCAGGGGGTGAAGACCCGGCCATAGGGTCAGCTGACAGGGGCTACAAGATACACCTGAACGCCAGGGACACCTGGAAGGTGCCTACAAGATACACCTGAACGCTAGTGTCACATGGAAGGTGCCTACAAGATACACCTGAACGCTAGTGTCACCTGGAAGGTGCCTACAATATACACCTGAACGATAGTGTCACCTGGAAGGTGTCTACAAGATACACCTGAACGATAGTGTCACCTGGAAGGTGCCTACAATATACACCTGAACGCTAGTGATACCTTGAAGGTGCCTACAAGATACACCTGAACGCTAGTGACACCTGGAAGGTGCCTACAAGATACACCTGAACGCTAGTGTCACCTGGAAGGTGCCTACAAGATACACCTGAACGCTAGTGATACCTTGAAGGTGCCTACAAGATACACCTGAACGCTAGTGACACCTGGAAGGTGCCTACAAGATACACTTGGGTCCCATCCCCACTAGGGTACAAATTATCCGGATCGAGCCGAGTTGATTCGCTTTGATCCAGCTTCGAGCTGGCTTGGAGCCGGGTTGAATCGGCTCGATCCGGACAATTTTAATCTAGTGTACCTGGTGACTTTTTACACACCTGGATGTTGTATGATAAGCCATCATCTTCACAAGTAACTAGAAACTCCCTTTTGTTAACCTACCTTTATCTGTTCCCTCATTCGTTCTTCCATCTTTCATTCTATCCGTCCTTCATTCACTCACTCGCTCATTCCCCCCTGTACTGCCCGCATTCAATCAGTGGTATACTGTCATGGGGGGGGGGGGGCTATACGTTTCCTGCTGTACTCTGCCTCTGCCTTAGTCGTCCAGCAGGTACAGACTCAAACATCACAACCCACAGCATATGTCCTATACGTATAATTATGAAGACCAAGTGCGAACATCTGTGAAGAAAGGATATAAAATTGTGATTTTCTTCCTGACGTTTAGGTACTATTGTTATCCCTCGTTTACGTCGTTGCGTGTCAAAAATGTGACATCGTGCGAAAACTCATTCGAACATGGGCCTATGCCAGGGGTAAGGGAGTAGCTTGTAGCTAGTAGCTGCTAGTCTAGAGCGTACGAGTACGTAAGGACTGACTACACCTGTGGACTTGCCTTACTCCGATGGAATGGCCATCAACACGTAAATAGTTTTCAGATTTGACTGACGAACTTGGCGAAACCAACGGGTTACTAGATCAATTAGCCGGTCGGTTAACGATACGTCATTGAATTTGCTGTTCCAAAGGTCAGAGCAAGGGCACGGGTGCACCCACAGGCCAAGGGAACCTTTAACTAGCTCAGCTCCACGCTCCGCTGGAAAAACCAACCGACTTGTTTGTGGAGTTTTCTCAAATATTGACCGCCTTGAGCAGGGGAGGACAGGCGTGCGGGCACTGCACGGCCACCACCGTGGCGAGATCAGAGGCAGGCAGGGGTTATTTGTGTGCTGAACAAATTTTGCTGAAAACACGGGCCCAGATTAGGAAGATAAACTGGCGGCGACCGTA